GTGCTTCTGTTCTAAACCCGAGTGGGAAAACTGATACAAGTATTGTCTGAAATCATAAGCTACCCTTAAATAATCAAAGACAGTCTACTGTTATCTTTAAGAATGCAGACCCGGGTGGCTCAGTCAGTTAGGCATCAATCAGGCTCTCGGTTTCAGCTCAGGTTGTGATCTCAGGGTCGTGAGATCGAGCCCTGACTTAGATTCCAAGCTTAGTGCAGTCTCGAGTCTGCTCGAGATTTTTCTCTCCGTCCCCGTCTGCCCCTCCACCCCTGCCCCTGCTCTTGCCGGATCTTTCTCTCTAAAAATGAATAAATAACATCTTAAAAAAAAAAAAAAGAATACTGGCCCCCCCCGCAAAAAAGGTGAAGGGTCCTGGAATTCAACCATATATCCTTTTGAAGCTAAAGTCACTATGTGTACACATTAAAACGTAAAGAAAAAAACAGTGATTTTGTTCAGAGCAATGAAAGGGGCCACGTGACAGATCCTCTTGTACAACTTGAATGACATTTCCTTTTTTTTTTTTTTTTGATTTTATTTATTTATTTGACAGACAGAGATCACAAGTAGACGGAGAGTCAGGCAGAGAGAGAGAGGGAAGCAAGCAGGCTTCTTGCTGAGCAGAGAGCCCGATGCGGGACTCGATCCCAGGACCCTGAGATCATGACCCGAGCTGAAGGCAGCGGCTTAACCCACTGAGCCACCCAGGCGCCCCCTTTTTTTTTTTTTTTTTTAAAGATTGTCTTTATTTATTTGTTTGACAGAGAGAGAGAGACCGTAGGAACACAAGCAGGGGGAGTGGGTGAGGGAGAAGTAGGCTTCCTAGGGAACAGGGAGCCTGATATGGGGCTCGATTTCAGGATCCTTGGATCATGACCTGAGCCGAAGGCCGACACTTAATAATGACTGAGCCACCCAGGTGCCCAACTTGAATAACATTTCATTTTGGGGTCAAATACAATGTGAATCCCAGTTACCATAAAATGCCTCCTGTTTTCCTGCTGCATCTCCCCCTCCCTTACCTCCCAGGGATGACTACACCAGCTAGGAGGGCCCTCAGGGGTGTAAAAACCAGGCAGGGGAGGGTCATGTTCACTTACGATTTACACAGAGCCGAGTAACTCTTCTAAGGTCATAAAGCAAATTCAGTCTCAGGCTAGATCTGGAAGCAGCCCTACAGTGCAAACCTGCTGGTCTCCCCATGTCTCCCCCTGCAGCCTGCACGCAGCCCAGTGACTGCCCTCCCATTTTCCACCGTTTTGCCACAGACTAGAGGCTGATACTAGTCACGACTATCGACTTTTGAGGATCTAGGGCCTCACGCCAGCAAGCACCAGCCACACGCAAGCATCCTGAGATGAACAAGCTTTCGAAAAGCTTTGATGCAGAAGACAGCGAGATAGACCCAGATAAATCCCCTGCGTTTCCCTCCCAGGGTTTGTACCTTCATGCTCATCTCTGTCCTACTGTACCGGTCCAAACCTTTTCTCTGACAGGTAAGGAAAACAAAGCTCAGAAGGTTTTGACCGGCACAGCTAATGAGGGGCAAAGCTGAAATTTGACCAGATGGATTGACTTTTACTATGATTCATGCAAGACGCCCCAAACTCCACGTGTTTTCTCGTCTCAGACAAGCGCGCGTTAGACCTGCTCAGATAAGAGAGCGCTCATGAATGCGTATTGAAACTCAGCATATTGAGAAATATCTATGGTCTTTTTCTCAGAGTAATAATTTTAAAATGTAAGGTGTCTTCTGTCATTGGGGTTTTCTGTCCCTTCCTTTAGTGTGTGCCAAAATGGTGAACATGACGGATAAGTTTTTGTGCTCTGAGCAAATTACTGAACGTGTAACCAAACCCAGTGAAGAACACAGCCGGGGGTCCAGACCCAGAGGGGAGGTAGGAGGGGGTCACACACGGGAATCTCTGCCTTTCTCAGAGCCTGTGTTCTGCCTTGGGGTCGTTGTGGACCCCACGCTAGGCAAATCCAGGAGCCGCTGTCATTCAAAGTGGTGTAGTGGTTTCAGTCGAGGAAACTCTTGAAAATGTTTTCTAGGAGTACTAATGAAGTGGCGAGTGTCATGGATGATGAAATGGAGGAGATGGAAATAAGGACATCGCTGTCACAGGGTCACCAGCTGTTACTTATCTTTAAAAATATTTGTACACTTGCAGTGCATGAAATTCATTTCTAGACGTAAACACATGACTTACATAGAAGTCTTGGGGAAATGGGTATTGTTTTTTAGAGACATGGTGGGAAAAAGGGCAAGGGTTTTAAATAGAGTCCAAATCCTAGAAAGTGATGAATGCCCAACTAATGAATTGCGACTTTAATCCAGGGGTCTGCGAACTGTGGCTCCCAGGCCAAATTTGGCCCACTGCTTGTTTTGTAAATAAAGTTTTATTGGGACCCGGATACGCCCATTTGTCTCTGTATTGTCTATGGGTGTTTTTTTCATTCTCAGGGTAAATCTGAGTCATTTCAAGAGACCCACAGAGCCCTTTAAATTTATACTCTCTTACAGAAAAACGTGGGTGCATTCTATGATAAGCGATATTGAAGGTTTCTGACCAGGGGGGAGCTGTGATGGAAGGAAGCTGTGAGAATCTCAGTCTGGCAGGAGGGCGTGGGATGGGCTGGAGCAGGAAAAGGTAAGTGTCGTCAGATATAATGCCACCAGAGCCCTAATGAAGGTGGCCGCAATAAATACAGGGAGACAAGGACAGGTTCAGAGCTGTGCCAGAGGAAAACAGAACCTGACATCCGGTTAGATAAAAGCAGAACAGAAAGGCAGATTCAAGTCTACCTTTGAAGCTGGGTGCTCAGGTTACCAGCTGCATGGTTACGACAACTGGGACAGGAGAAGCCAGGCGGGGTGAGTGGCTGACTTTGGTTTTAGATACTGGGCTCCCACAAGTGTGTGAACCGCCTGCCATGGCTGGAGATGCGCGGCTGGAGCCGGGCTGCATTTACTGCAGTGCCCCTGGTAATGGTATGCTGCGGCGATCGATCGAGGAAGGTTTGAACCAGTTACATACGTCTGATAGAAACAGTGATGGCGAGTGGCCCAGGACAGCCCTCCAAAGAGGCGGGCCCTTCCTAATACCCCGTGAGTAACTTTCCAGTGGGGGCGGCTGGAGTGCAGCCAGTTGGCTCCAAGGGCCACAGGTGTCTTGTGTGCTGGTGACTGTCTTCTTCCCTGCTGTCTCCTCTCTCAGCACAATGTCTTCAGCCCAGTGGACTTTAGGCACGTGGAGCAGATGTGTTCCTGTTCGTGGACTGTAGATGCTACAGGGTTCCAAGCCCGCTCATGGCTCACTTTGGCTTACTACAGAGCAGCGCCTACCTCGGCTCTGGTAGGCTCTCCTGTTTCACCTGGAGTTCCCGCTTCGATTCCCATCGCTTCCAGGCAGGTGCCAATGTTTCTGTGTCTCCTCTCTTTGCTGGTGGAACATGTTCTTCCTAGCTTGGCACCCAGACTTGAGAAGGGACCTGTTCTTCCCACCCCCCACCCCCGTGATTCTGTCTCAGCAGTTTGCATGGAGTGTCCTCAGAATTTTCCAGAACATTCCTGGGCTCCTGGGGCTCAGGCCGCTCCGCAGTTGCTACTGCTTTGTTTATTTTCATGAACTCTCTCCTTTCTGCTGCTTCTTCAAACTTTCCTGAATCCAGCTCCCCCTAAATGCACTTTCACTCTCTTCTCTCTCTCCCTCTTGTTTGCCCTGATAATCCCTTCGTATAGCCCCTGAACCCCATCTAGTTCTTCCTGCCCCATTCATGGGTTACCTCACTCCTCTTCTCCAGATAAACTTGTGCAAAAATGTACACAAATATCTGTAAATGGTAACAGAGCTACGATCTATTTAATTGCTGGGTGGTCCCCTGGACGGACAGGAGTGGAGAGTGAGACTAGTAATTGATCAAGCATTTCCACTCCTGAAAGAGAGACTGTAATCACAGGACTGACTTCAGAAAAGTTGCTTTATTATTAAAGAAATAAAAGGTGGTCTTGTGTTTCATTAAAATGCTTGTCAATCTTTTCCTCCTGATTAGTAAGTATAAAGTTAATTACTATGTATTTTCCCTGTCACTCCTTTGTGACATGCTCTTAGATGGCCTGACAGCTGGCATGCTCTGCGGAGGTGATAGGCATAGCCTCATACCATTTCTTTAGCCAGACACGCAAGCTGTTTTACCTCTGACCTTTGTTCATTCACCCTTGACTTCATCAAGTCGCAGGCCTAGGCTTTCCTGCCCTGGTTTCTGTTCAGATCCAAAATGTATCGACAAGTCAATTCTACTGTTAAGAACAGACCAAGTTCACAGACTTGCTATAAAAAATGGAAGAAATGAATTATTTTCGCAACAAGAGTGTTGACATCAAACCAGCCCGTTCCTTAAGGCTTGTGTTTCCAAGCTGCCTCTTATGAAAAGCCTTTTGTGTCCTAGTGAGGCTGATTCTGCTGGCTTAATCTTCAGTAGCTTTCAGCGAAAATTAATTTACTGAAATATGAAAAGATACTACAAACAAAAATTTTAAAGATTACTCCCCTACTGAGGTACAAATAAGAAATGCATGCAAACTATGTTTATACATTTTTCTTCCCTTTTAAAGTTGACTTAAGATGTCAGCTCATTCTTTTGGAAAGATCAGGATATGTTCTTTTGTCTTCTTTTGAAGACAAAGACTGGAACGGAATATGGAAAATTTTAGAAAAGCTTTCTCTATTAAGTTCGAAGTGGTAGGAACGCAAGTGTTTTATTTGGCTTTTGATTATTACTTGGGAGTTAAAAAACCAACGAAAGAGTAAGAGTGAGAGCTGTGTGGGGACGAGAGCATAAAACCTGCATCTGAGGTTGTATTTCTGTTTTAACAGATGACTGTACCTAAGCACTGAGGGTGTTCGTGCTTCTGAGGGAGAAGCCCCGTGGTGCTGAGTGATGCTACCTGCGCGCGGCAGCTGGGCACAGAGGTCACGGATTTAGCTACCGGATCGTGACGCATCCGGCCCTGACTAGTCCTCTAGTGACACAGGTTAATTTCTAAGTCCTTCGACTAAAAGGATTTCCCAGAGGCGGTAAGGAGACACAGGCAAGCCGGCGCAGGTCACTGTCCCCGTCCGCTCCTGCAACCACGGAGCGTCCCCCCGCGGGCCAGCGGGCTCTGCGGCTCTCCCTGCCCGGGAGGCGGGGGGGGGCGGGGCTTGCTCCGGGAGCCGCGGGCAGTCACCGGGCCGCGCGCCACGCCAGACCCTGCACACCTGGCCCACCGGCCGTCCCGGACCGCGGAGGGTCTGGGCCTCATGCTCAGGCCCGCGGGGAAAGGAAGAGCCTGGGACCGCTGCGCTCTGATGTCCCCGAGTTTCTCCTCTGAGGGGCGGGAACTCAGGGGCGGAGTCAGAGGGAGGGGCGGGGATAGGGGCGGAGGCAGAGGATAGGTGGGCGGGGCTAGAGCTGGGGGCGGAGTGAAGGGCGGGACAAGAGGAGGGGCGGTGGGGGTGAGCGGCGGGGCGAGGGCGGGGCGAGGGCGGGGTTGGCGTGTGTAGCGGGGCAATAGGTAGAGCGAAGACAGGGAGAAGGCAGAGTCGGAGTCGGGGCGAGGGCGGAGAGGAGGGTGAGGAGGAGAGAAGGGTGGGGCGAGGACGGAGCCAGGGACGAAGGGCTGTCGAGGCTGGGGGCGGAAGGTGGGCCGTAGGGAAGAGGAGGAGGCTAGGGCGGAGTCGAGGCAAGGAGAAAGTCGAGGGTGGGGGCGGAGCCAGAGCGAAGGCGGGGCGAAGGGCGCCGGGGGCGGGATCGGAGTGTGAGGCGCGGTCAAAGTTGGGGCGGGGGAAGGCTCGGTGAGGACGGGGGCGGAGCCAGAGCGCGGGGAGGACCGCGGAGGTGAGGCGGAGAGAAGGGTGGGGTGAGGGGCGGGGTGGGGGCGGGGCCTGCGCTAACGGTCGCGCCACGGGCTGCAGAGAGGCTGTGGAGCTCGAAGCCGGGCGCGCGCGAGGAGCGGCGGCTGAGGTGACCGCCCGGCCCGGGCGGCGCGTTCTGTGGGGCGCGGGCGCGCGAGGGGGACTGCGGCGCTGGCGGTGCGGGTCGAGTTGGGAAGCCGGTCACGCGGCTGTCCTTTCCCTTGCTGCTGTCTCGGGGCGCGGCGTCCCGAAGTGGGGTTCGCCCCGGGGCGCGGGGACGCCCGGTTCCGCGGGGGCGGGCCACGAGGGGTGTGGCCGGCGGGGCAGGTGTGCGGCAGGGACCGCCGCGGTCGAGCGCACGGAGGCGGCTCCCGGCAGAACGGCGGACGCCCGGCGGGTGCTCCCCGCGGGCAGAGCAGGGCAGGGCCGGGAGCTGAGGAGCGCGCGCCGGTGCGCAGCTGCGGGGGAGGGGCCCGCGGGGGGTGGGGGCGTCGGTGAGCGCTCGGGAGCGCGCTCGGCCTCGGTCCGCTCCCGCCGCTGGCCGGGGGAGCTCCCGCCGGTGTGGGCCGCGGGCCGGGCGCCGGGTCAGAGCCGGCAGCCGCGCGCGCCTCGTCCTCGCGCTCCGCGGCCCCAGCGCCGGGCTGTGGGGACTGCACAGCCCGCCACACGCCTGGTTCCTGCGATTGTTAGAGATGCTCCTTCGGGGGAGTCTGCCCCGTCTCTGTCCGGTGCTGTCTGCACCCGGTGTGCTCGAGCTCGCCGCCCGGGACCGAGTCGCGCGCTCCCCGCGCCGCCGCGGACGCCCCGGGGGTGCCCTTTAACGGCGCGAGGAGGGCGCCCGGCGGGGGTGAGGGGGCTCGGAGACCCAGAGCGCGGGCGCGGCGCCCCCTCAGAGCCCTCCCGCGGCGAAGCCACTGCGTGACGTGGTCCGGGCTGTGCGTGGCGGAAACGGTCCGGTTGCGGGTTTGGAGGAGCCGGCAGGTCACGCCCTGGAACCCCGACGGGGGCCGTGCGGAGGGCCGACCGCCGTCTGATGCTTCCGTGTCGCCTCTGTGGTGTCGAGCGCCTTCCGGGCACGAGACAGCCCCGACGGGCACCCGGGGACCCTCTGCGCCCGCCTCCGCGCTGCTCCGGACGCGGCTTCAGATCGCGGCCATCCCCGCGCGCGGCGTAACCCGAGCCGAGCGTGGCTGTTGCTGCTGTTCTAGTTTGTTTGACGGAGCGAGCGGGTGCAGGCAGGGGGAGCGGACGGCGGGGCGAGCGGCCGGCGGGGCGAGAGCGGGAAGCGGGCTTCCGGCAGAGCCGGGGACTGATGGGGGCCCGTTCCGGGACCCTGGGATCGTGACCCGAGCGGGAGGCAGGCGCTTAACTGACCGAGCCACCCAGGCGCCCCTGTATTTCTTTTCTTGTTTTGTTTTTGTCCCCCCCCCCCTTATGATTTACTCACCCATTTGAGAGACGGAGAGGGCACGTGCGCTCCAGCGGCGGCCGGGGTGGACGGGGAGGGAACGAGAGCGCCCCAAGCTGACTCCCCACTGAGCACTCGTCGGAGCCACCCAGGGGCCCCCGAGGTTTTCTGTATTAATGAAAGTAGGCTTTGCGCTAATAAATGTTTCAGTCCCGTTGAATCTTCTCCCGCCTGAAACTCTAAATTTACGGGGTGCACAAGAACTGCTAGATTAGCGAGGTCCCTGGGGGGTGCTGTCCCTCGTGTCTGACTCTGGGGTTTTCACTCTGGTCCTGAACTCAGGGTCATGACAGGTGCTGCTGGGGGAGCCTGCCTAAGACTCTTCTTTTCCCTCCCTCCCTCTCCCCCAGACTAAATCAATCAATCTTTAAAAAAAAAAAACTCATATTCTGTGTTTTACTGAAACTAAAATGTCATTACACGTAAGATGCCTCTTGGAATCAGAAATACTGAAGTGTAAAAAAAAATTGCTAACTTACACATTTTTTGGAAAGTGAAAGTTAAAAATTGGAACCTAACTGTACCATTCAAAACTGTAAAAGGACATTTTGAAACATGTTTTCTACAGATTTGATCTGTACTTACCCGTCACTGTTATAATAAAAACTTCCCTGAGAGTGAGTAACATATCTGATGCTTTCCTAGATATTTTTTTTAAGATTTTATTTATTTATTTGACAGACAGAGATCACAAGGAGGCAGAGAGGCAGGCAGAGAGAGAGGAGGAAGCAGGCTCCCTGCCGAGCAGAGAGCACCATGCAGGGGCTCAATCCCAGGACCTGCGATCATGACCTGAGCAGAGGCCAGCGGCTTAACCCACTGAGCCACCCAGGTGCCCCCTAGATAATTTTTTTAAAGATTTGTTTATTTATTTATTTATTTGAGGGTGTGTGTGTGTGTGCACACACCGTGGGCAGCAGAGGGAGAGGGAGAAAGAGTCCCAAGCAGACTCTGCCCCCAGTGAGGAACTCCACACGGGACTTGACCCCACAACCCTGAGACCACCACCTGAGCCAAGACCAGTCCGACTCTGAACTGACTCCAGCACCCAGGCATCCCCCAGATGATTTTTTTTTAATCTTGGAATTTTTCATGGGTTATTTCAGTTATTTAATTTATTCATCAAACTTATATTTTCTAAAATGTAGATAAAAGAATGGCAAACTCCTTTGCATCAAAGACCTTCACCACACTTTCAGATCTGCATCCAAATATGGCTAATCTGGTAAGTTTTAATAATATAGCGGTTTGGTGATTCTCTAGAGAAACTTTATGTGGTAATATTATATTACATCAACATTATTGGTTCATGTGACACGTGCTTGTAATTGACGAGTATACAGCGACTCACTCCATCAGTAGGACTGTTGATATTAGATACCCCTAAGCTTCTTAGGTTTTATGCCAGCTAACTGAAAATTACTTTCTCTTTTGTCTAGAGGAGGACCTTGTAGATAGGACTAGCAGTTGTTCAAAATGATCAAGAGTTTAATTGTATCACTTTCATTAAATATTTAATAACAGCTCAAACTTAGCGTTGTGAAATTAAAACATTTTTGCTCAGCAATATCTATTCTCTAATCAAACTATACATAAGTTATAGACTTAAATACTTGCCACTATGTTCCTTTATATAACATAAAGGTACACAAAAGATGTATTTCTGAAATATTATGTGAAAACCCATTTTTTACTGAAGGGTTGTGGGGGAATTCAATCATTTCAGACATGCCAAGACACTTATTAGTCAAATAAAATCTAGGTGGAATCATCTCATGAGGTGAAGAACGGCCCCAAGCAGTCTGTTGCTTACATTTGGCATTTATAAATCAGATTTCCTAAGATGGGCTATATTTATATGTAACCTTAATATGCAATTAAAGTTTATTAATGTTAAAAATAGGGGCCCAAGTTTTTCTGATGGAGGCCCAGAAAAAAAAAGGTAAGTTATTAATTTCTTCTTCAGTTAAAAGCTTTGCTGAATATTTCCATTATATTTTTCCAACAAAATTTGGTGAGATTGACATGCATATGGAATTTAAGAAATAACAGCAGTGTGTCTAAACGTAGTAAGATTAACTAATAGCTCAGCTAAGATGTGATAATCTTAAGGGCTTGGACTATTTTTTTTAAAGATTTTTTATTTATTTATTTGACAGACAGAGATCACAAGTAGGCAGAGAGGCAGGCAGAGAGAGAGGAGGAAGCAGGCTCCCTGCTGAGCAGAGAGCCCCATGTGGGGCCCAATCCCAGGACCCTGGGATCATGACCTGAGCCGAAGGCAGAGGCTTTAACCCCCTGAGCCACCCAGGCACCCCTGAATATATTTTAAATGTAACAGATTGCTGCAAGGTTAAAATTAGTTCTAGAGTTAAGTGTAAGTTTAGGTTTATCCTTTTAGGAAAGTGTAGTTATTTTTGCAATAATAAATGTATAATATGTATAATATATATATTATTATTATACATTATTATATAATGTACAATAAGTGTAATAATAAGTGTATATGTATAATATTATATATTATTATACTGTACATTATTATATAACATACAATAAATATAATAATAAATGTTATTTTTGTAATAAAATTTTATTTTAAAGTACTTTTTAAATATTCAGTTTTTATCTGGTAGTTGCTAAAGAGAACATTGAAATGTTTAATATCTTTAAGGTCTAAGATCTAGGACTTTATTTTTTTAAAAGATTTTATTTATTTATTTGACACAGAGAGAGAGAGAGAGGTCACAGGTAGGCAGAGAGGCAGGCAGAGAGAGAGGGGGAAGCAGGCTCCCTGCTGAGCAGAGATCCTGATGTGGGGCTCGATCCTCTGAGCGGAAGGCAGAGGCTTAACCCCCTGAGCCGCCCAGGCGCCCCCTGATCTAGGATCTAGGACTTTAGAGTTTAGATTTGTTAGGAGCGATGTACAAGTTTTGTTACAATCCAATTCATATTACTGTTTAGCGTGTTTGGATTAAGAAGCTAAGCAATTTTATGTGATTGTTAGAAAATCCTATATTAAAGAAAGCTTTGCAGACCATGGCAAATTAAATTGTATATACATGTGCTTTGAATGAATTCAGTAAGAACTGATAGCATAGGGTGGTTACTGTGCTCCCCCTAGTGATTGAAAATAAAGGAGAAACGTGCTAAGTATTAAATGATTGTGTATGTAATAGCCGTTAATTGTCTTATTACTTTGTACTTTGCCTTGTAGAATTGAACATTTATGAAGTTCTTTAGATGTTTGTCTGGAGTAAATATATTTAAATGGCTCATAGTAAAAAATGTTTGTTAGAGCCAGTAAAATATAACAAGTCCATGAAATTAAATTTACCATCTACATCTGTATTTAATATTTGTCTTCTATAACCTTCTTGTTTTTCAGAAAATAATTGGTATAGTTATTGGGAAGACAGATGTCAAAGGCTTTCCAGACAGAAAAAGCTGAGTTCTATTTAACTCTTTGCTTCATTTTTCATCAAGTGTGGCTTACGACTACAACAAAGTGTATTTAAGGGATTGAGTTCCTCATGCCTGTTTAACTCCTTAAGAGCAGTGTTCATTGCTCTGTTGTATGGTAAAGTACTCAATTTAGGGCGATATGTGTGTGGACCTTAAAATAATTTTTAATGACATATAAGGCTGTTTGACCCAAAGTAAGGACTCCACTGTTTACAATCACTTTCAGCCTAAGAGATAAAAATACACAACTAAATCTAAGACAGAAGATGTTAAGGAACAGGGTTTTCAAGCAGGGATATGTCATGGTAGAGGAGCTTGGAAGGAGAGAAGTACAGCAGCAGTATCAACCGGACAACCAGTGAGAAATTCATCGTCCATATGTGGAAAATAGAGTTAACTCTGGCTTTAGTGGCTCTTTGAGTTGCTTGAACTGTATAAAAGTTTTAGGACGATGGAAACAATCCAAGACTAAAATTAGATTTTTAAGATCAAGTTTAAAAACAAGTTTTCAAACTTCTGTAGTTGACACACAATGATAAGATATAAAAGGCCAAAACTAGCATTGTAGTACCAATAGCTTTTAAACCGTCAGCACTACTTATGAAAGGTTACAGTATAAGCGCTTGAGGGAGTCAGAGTTGTAGTCAGGCAGACAATGATTTTGGCAGAAGACGTGAATTTTGTTTGAATTGCCTGAGTAATTGTGACTCTGTTTTTTGTCTCATGGTGTAGTGACAGTACCTTAATTTTAATTTCATGTAATATTCCATTATTACATTTGATGTAAATATTTATTTATGCCTTTACTTTACTTCATCATGATTAATTAGATCAGAATTACCATTTGAATAGTTTGAGAAAGTCTATATGTCTTTTTTCTAAACTCTGAAAGGAATAACTTAAAATACACAAATTAGGAAATTGTCAGTATTTGAAATATTTGCTGAAATCCCAACAATGAAATAGAACTTTCACCTCACAGATCGTGCAGGTACATGATTCCTGTGATGTTAGAGTACTTTTTATGATTATATGTACAGAACACCTTTTCTCGAGAAGAAATCCTTACTGACTTAAAAAAAACAACATTATACACATGTTACTATATTTTCACAAAACATTCAAGCAGTGCAGAAGGGCATAGAATAGAAAAATGAAATTCTTAATTCAACCCCCAGCTCTTTCCAGCCTAGTCCCCTCCCCAAAGGCAAGTGCTAATTACAGCTTGGTAGGTATCTGTAATTTATATATGTATGTTAGGTTGTGTACTTTCTTAATTAGTGAAGAACAAACAGTAAGGACATTTTTATTTTGGAAAAAAAATGTACCTGCCTGACCCCTAGTGGCTCCATGTACTAGCACACATTTATTTGTTTTGAAATAATTTATTTTTTTTTAAAGATTTTATTTATTTATTTGACAGAGATCACAAGTAGGCTGAGCGGCAGGCAGGGGCAGGGGGAATCAGGCTCCCTGCTGAACAGAGAGCCCTATGCGGGGCTCAGGGTCTCAGGCTCAGAACCCTGAGACCATGACCTGAGCCAAAGGCAGGGGCTTAACTCACTGAGCCACCCAGGCGCCCTGTTTTGAAATAGTTTAGATTTGAAGCATGACTTAGATTGAAACTGTAACAGAGAGAAATGGAGATCTAAACTAAAATCTGTATGGTTCAAGCCGACATGTCATTTCTCTCCAAATATGCAGATAACTGGGGAAAGGGAACAGAGGGATCAATAGTGAGGTGCGTCATCTATTCTGGCAGCTAGGAGATTGACTCAAGCATGACTTATCTTAGAATTTATATCGCAGTAATATTTTTACCATGTGTTTGAGTATGTTTGTTATCATAATCATATTTGTTCAAACCTAAGATAAAAGTTTTCATTTGCATTGGTTTCCCTTAGATATCGGATCAGAGAGATACACTTTCAGTTTCACCATTCGGGACTCACCAACGCATTTTGTCAATGTGACATCCTGGGGCAGCGAAGGTTACATCAGGTCACTTTCTGACAGCTTTAGGGTTGGAGAGTGCGGTAAGTCGGCGTTGGTTCTTGAACTGTTTCTGTTGCAGTATTATTCCTGTGACATATTTGTGGGAACTACACTGAGGGAGTCAAAGTAAGACATCATTCATAATTCCCAAGAAACAAGTTATGCATTAAGAGCATAACACAAGCCTTTAGCATTTTATTACTTGAAACATATAAATGTGATAGTCACGTATTTTTACTAGGTAGCTTTACAATCTTTGGTTTATTTCAGATTTCAGTTTGCATCAATTCTTGTTGTTGCTGTCACCATTTATCTTTCAGTAACCATAGTAAGGCTGCTAAGTAGCTTTTGATAAAAGAAAAATTTGAAGTTTTAATAGGAGTTTAAGAAGCTCTACTTTCAAAATAGCAAATCTTTGGCAACCTTTACCCATCACAGGATCCTTCTGATGGTACAGTGTCATATAAAAAAAACCCAGGGCTTTGAAAATGGATAGAGGTGGGTTCAGATCTTACTTCCAATATTTGTTTACATCATGACTTTGAGAAAATTGCTTAACCTTGTTGAGCCTCAGTTGTGAATGAGTACCCTATAGATGCTGTGGGTCTTAAAGGAGGTAGTATGCGTGGTAGAAAGTGTAAGTCGTTGTCCCTCAGTGGATGGCAGCGCTCGCCTCCTACAAGTAATGGGAAAGCACGATACCAGCTCCCTTTCGTGGGAGAAAAAAGAAGGGAAAGAGTAATGCACAGAATTAAACTACTCTCCAAAACTGCACAATTAGGCAAGCTATTACCCGTCCCCATCACTTAGCACTTACTGGTGTATTTATTACGTCATATTATGAAGTTGAAGGGTAATACATTGTGTCTCTCTAACTGAATAATAAAGTACTTGAACATATGGATTGTGAAGGCGGAAAACTTTGTAAACTCCACGGGGCCCAGTACAATTAGAAACTTTCCTTGGATGAATGCCAGTGCATTAGTTATATGGAGCTAAAGTTATACTTTGGTATTAAACTATAGGTTAATGGTTGTGAGGATGAATGAAGTAAGGGGTCTTAAAAGCATAAGGTTGACAATAATTATAAATTTAAATAGGACCTTGGTGTGTTGGTGTGAAAAGATTACAGATTTTTGATTCAGAACAACTGTAAGTCTAGTGCTACTGGTTTCTAGATATAAAACCTCCAGAAAGTTATTTAACCTCTGTGAGCTTCAATTTCTTCCATTCATAAAAAGGGGTTATCATGGAGTAGTTGTGTGAGGAATCAGCAAAACAGACACAGAAAGGCCCAACAAGACCATAAAGAAACAGAACCCCTAAAATGTTCAGTCATAAGCTGTTAAGTTGTGGAGCGGAAATCAGGATCCGAGTTGTGCGTGGCTCTTTCTGCCCTGTGGCGATTGTTTCCAAAGGTGACCATGAACGGGGTGAAGTTTATTTAAAGTCTATGTCCTATGGAAGGCCAGGTCATAACCAGATTACATGTTCAGTGTAACTAATCAGTAAAACGATATTAATGCAGGTCATATGTAGGAATTTAAACACAAAACCTAAGACATCTGGGATCATATTGATGGTTGTACCTCAGGCTCCTTCTCAATGACACAAGGAGAGGACTGCGGAGGATATGCTGCACTGACTCAAACTAGAAATAACAGTGTAACGTTCGGTGTGATGTATACTTGTTTTCAGGTATCTAGTTACTTTTTTGTAATAGCATCTTACTTTTCCTTCTGTTGCAGTGATCATCGAAAATCCCCTGATTCAAAGAAAGGAACTAGAAAGAGAAGAAAAATTCAGCCCTGCAACTCCCAGGTAAATAATCCAGCACAAAGCCCACAGCCTTCGCTTTGGAGTGACCGCCAAGTGACCGCTGTTCTGTGTGTGACAGTAGCAGAGACCTCACTGACGGTATATGTGTCAATTTGAAAATCAGGAGTTTTGTTATTCCTCAAACAATTTACGTTGATATAGGATTGCATGAAAACATGGCTGTTTTTAGTACGTCTATTCTCAATTTAGTCACATTAGAGCTGAACAATGAGAAAGAAAGGTAAATCTTGGAAGTCCTATAGAGGTATCACGTCCAAGTAAAACTCTCCCTACACGCTTTCCTATCTTAGTTCAGGTTCACTGGAGACAGAGCCCAGAGGAAGATTTTTGTGCAAGTGGTCTGTTGAGGGAGCGCTCTCCGGAGCAGCCTGTAAGGGTAAGGTCAGGGGACAGCAGAGAGGCAGGTTCGGTGGGAGCTTGGCTCTGCCTGCCTGGCCCCAGAGGGAGCTCTGGAGCATGAGTGGCACCCCCTGAAAGGAAGGGACCGGGTGTTTGTGGCCTGGATTCACAAGTTATCGGTGGCACCCACTCCCCACCACCGGCATTTCTTCCTGAGGGCATCTCTCCAGAGCAAGGGGACGCTGGTAAAGGGCTCTGAGTGGGCACAGCAGTCTCCACTACAATGACACCTGCACCCATTTTGACCCCTTCCCATCTACTGTTCTGATGTCATAGCAGACCCCAGGTCTCATTTCTGTGCAGCCGCCCAGACTCCACTCTGCAAACACTGAGGGCTCATTCTGCACTATCAGCTTTTGCACACTCACTCCCTCTGCGCAGAGCAGGCTTCTCCCATCTGCTTTGAATGTTTGCTCCTTCTCCTCATTGATGTGTCACCTTGAATGTCACCTCCTCAGGCCTTCTCCATTTTCTCTGTGTAGTGACCCTTGCAGTGTCACGAGGATGTCGCCCTGTCCTATTATCGTCAAGACCTCCTCTCTGAGATTATTTGATCAGTTGTGTGTCTGCCTCTCACACATGTGAACTCCATGACATCAAAGGTGTTGTCCGTCTCTTGCACCACTGTATTCCCTGCGCCTAGACTAGGTTCTGGCACATACTAGCTCGTGGTAGATATTGATGAAATGAATGGATAAATGGATGGAGGGAGAGAGGAAGGAAGGGGGGGTGAGGAACGTTCTTAGCAGAGGGAACAAACATGAAACCTCCTGGCCTTTTCCAGAACAGTTAACAGTAGGTTGAACCATATGAAACTGTTGACATTTAACTATTTTTGGTCTAAAACTGTCATTTTCATAATCTAGTAGTCTGATATGGCTGGGCTTTAAGGCAAGGGCAGTGGAAGGAGAAGCTTGAGAGAGAAGCGGAGACACTTCGCAGACAGCTTTGCCTGGCACGCCAACTTCCTTCTTGGCCGGTGGCTAGCCCAGAAGGTCTTTGAGTTGGGGAATAGTATGTTCATATTTGTGGTTTAGGATAATCACTTCAACAACGCGAGGGGGTGGAAGCATAGGAGACAAGCCAGCAGTTTAGGTGGAGCGTGATGAGGGAAGCACCTAACAAGATCGCAGGGGAGGCACGGGAGGGGGGCCGGGTTCCAGGCTAGAAAGAGGCTCCCTGAGGGGACTTGGGAGTTGATTGGCTGGAGGGGGAAGATGGAGTTGAGTGTGTAGATACTGGGTGTCTGCCCCACGGAGAGCACCCCAGAAGGAAGTCGAGTGCCGTCCTGATGCAGGCAGGGCAGTCAGTGTCACGGAGACAGAAATGACGGGACACCCCTGCTCAGACATTTTAGAGGCTTTTATACCCCGGTTTTACAGTGAGGAAAACCGAAGCTCAGAGTTCGGGGCTCGGTCAGAAACTAGTATGCTTAGAACTCGGGCACAAATTAGTCCTCAGAACATTTTCTTGATGAAAATACATTTTAAAGATTTTATTTGTTTATTGGTCAGAGAGAGCGATTACATGCACAAGCAGGGGGAACGGCAGGCAGAGGGAGAAGCAGGGGAGCCCTACGTGGGGCTCAATCCCAGGACTCTGGGATCATGACCTTAGCTGAAGGCCCACGCTTAATCCACTGAGCCTCCCAGGCCTCCCTTAATGAAAATACATTTTTAAATTAACATATAGTATATTTAATAAAAAATGATATCCACTCTGGCTCTCTCCTCCACTGCAATGGGGAAGAGTGGTGAGGAGGGGCATGAAAATACATTTTAGACAAAGAAATATTTCACAACATTTTTGTGTTTCTCAGAGTAAAAAAGTATAAATTTTCTAAATACAAGAAATTACTGTTGGTTGTCTAAATTACAACCAAAAAGATAATTTAATGTGAATCTGGAAGTATTTTTCTATTAGAAAGGCACTCGATATTAACTGTTTTTGTGTTTTTTTTGCAATTTAGCAGCTGTAAGCTATTGCTCAGTGAGAATCACTCCACGGTAAAAGTTTGTTCCAGTTACCAAGTGGACACCAAGCTCCTTGCTTTGATATACTTACCTGTCAAAGAGTCTCATGATTTTTATTCATTGGGTGACATTGTTGCAAATGGATGCAGTCTGGATGGGAGGATTATTAACGTGCTTGCGGCAGTGCGGTCGGTAAGTTAAAGCCTCAAAAAGCCAACCTCTGTTTGGTGGGCACTTCTATCACTTCACTTCTGTTTGGAAAGTAATAACCAGGAGAATCACTTTTCTTGATCCCTAGTAAGTTGAATTAAGAAAATGGTGGCACCTCTCATCACTGTCAGAGGAGCGGTTTATGTGGAAACGAGTAGCAAAATAAAATCGAATTTGAATGTTAAATGCATCGCACTCCTAAATGATCTACTAACTGTGAGAGCTTTGCATACTTTGGTGAGACAAAGACACTAATGGAAAGAGTAAATTCACGGACTTGAAGATTTGCATGAAGTTTCTCAAGGGGATGTAGGTTGGAGGACTCTCGGAGTTCACTCAGTCTGTGCTCAGAGGTGTTCTGAGGTGGAGGGTGGGCATACCCACTGTGTGGCTGGCGTGACCTTGTGCAGGCATCGTGGGGCCCTGGGGTACCTCTCAGGTTCACTGTCACCTCCCTTTTATGCAGTTGCCGCAGTGAGTTTGAAACTCTGTTGGACAGGCTGGTCATATGGCAGACATTCAGAGGTAGATCTCAAAAGTACAGTTTCACACACACAAAAAAGTACATGGAGAAAATTAAAGGGGCAGGACCAGTTCCTCAACTCCTAGGGAGTAAGGATTGTCAGAGACCACATACACACATACAGAATGTTGTAGGTAATCGCTCATTGCTTTTCTGTATTAAATGATAGTGATGACTCTTCCCGTTGACAGGCATGTGACAGTGGAGGCCACGATTGCTGTGTTGTCCACACTAGCCCCAGCCCAGTGCAGTGCCCACCACACAGTGACCATTCACTATAACTCAAGCTGGAGGAGTAAACTCCCTACGTGACAGTCTTGAAAACTAGGAGAAATCACTTTCTGGGCTATTTAGTTAGGTTTAGTCTTACATAAAGGCAGGATATTATCTCAATTTCCCTGCAATTCTATACAATGCCATTATTTACAATGTAGTAAGAATTTTCTAAACCTCGGTATAAACAAAAGCCTGGGACAGCATTTTCCGCTTCCCCCACCACGAGTCTGGCACCTTCTTTTATAGGAGGACGTTCCTTTTTCGTGTGTGTCTTTCTTCTACCATTTTATTTCCATCCCTCTTATATTTCCTTTTCTTCACATTTTTGTTTTGCCCTTTTTTCTCTTCCTTCTCACCTCTCTCTCATCACTGTAGAATCCTTTTCATAGACTTCTCTTGTGTGCCGTGATAAATCACACCTCGGTCACACTCTGGCTGTCCTTGCCTCTGACTTTTCCTCCTAGATCCTGCTCTCGTGCTGGCAGCGGCCAGTCTTCCTTCAGCTCCTTCCGCTGGAGCTCAGCTCTGTAGGAGATGTGGAGGCGACAGTGTGGGGGGCAGCCTGCTGACCGTCCGTGCTTGGCCAGTGTTACGTGGCTGGCAGAGGGGCCTGCCCTTCCCTCTGAGAACTTGCTGGAGGGACAGAAGGGCCCCTGGGTTTACCTCCACTTCCACGATCCTCTTACTCCCAGTGGGGTCAAGCCAGATGGTGCGTCAGCATGTCCCTCGTTTGGTCTCCATCACCTCATCCCCCTGGAGGCAGCGAAGAAGGTGCTGCTTTCCTACCTGCGCCAGCAGGCTGAGGACGCGCAGGCCTGGGAAGACAGAGTTGTTTCGGTCACGTGTACTCCGCGCCAAGCTCTGTGCTGAGCCATGGGCGTCACAGATGTTGGAGATACATTTTCCATCCTCAGTGCACCTAGATGCCGCACGGGCTTGTTGTGGAGCACTGTTTTTGACATGTTGAAAAGACTCCACAGTCTGGACTCAAAGCACATGTTTCTGTGTCTCCCTTCAGTCAGTGTGTAAACTTACAACATCAGCTAAATATACCTACGTTAGAGATAGAAGATGCTTTTAAAACCTTCATATATATATATATTTTAGTGTTTCTTGCTATTTTAATTCTTTTAATTTGCTGTTTAAAGGGTAAATATTTGAATGTTTTCACCAATAAACATTTTTGTACCTCTGCAACTGTAGGTGGAGAATAATGACTTCTTTCCATTTCTAAGGTTGGAGAGCCAAAACACTTTACAACTTCAGACCGGAGGAAAGGCCAGAGGTGTGAGGTGAAGCTCTATGATGAGACAGAGTCTTCTTTTGCAATGATATGGTAACCTTCCACATCTGCTCCAGACCGTAAAATCCCTGCTGTTAGCGCCGAGACAGAATATTTTTATTTTATGAGAAAGATGATGGATTTCATAATAGGAGAGGAGTAACGATGGAGGAGAAGTAATTATTAAAAAGGAAACCTTGCTCTTATATATTGAGTGCTGCAGTCTGTGCTGTAAGATTACCTTAAAATGAGCTCTGTGGACAGCACGGGATTATTTGGACAGACTCCACTGTGACTGGTTCATTCCTGTCCTCTGCTTTATAGCAGTCAGTGATTCATTAGGTCCCATGGTATACACCAGCCAGATTCTGTGTGATTGCTTGGGTAGCGCCCTGGAATCAGGCCACAGGAAGGTGTATTGTCCCCAGCTGTGCCCTGAAGCACCGCAGGGTAGAACATGGCATTGCTCCGACTCTAGATGCCTGGGCACCAGAGAAAACACCGAGTTTGAAACAGGCCTTCAACCCGTCAAGGGCCCTGAACGGTTTAGCCGGTGCGGGTCTCCGTTAATGGTCCGGCAGAGTGGCTGTAGAGCTTCAGGTTCGCAGTCCCTCACTTCTGCCAGCCTGCGGCGACTGAAGTAGTGCGGAAAGAAGGAACCGAGGGGGCAGACGTGGTCAAAGAAGAGTAGTGTCCGGGGGAGGGACTTAACACGTGAACATGAAACGCCCTTTGTAATGGTGAATCCTGCAAATCAGGAGATGCCACCGTCCTTCACTGCGGCTTTGACAACCCGGTGGGGTTAACTGTAGCCGTTCCGACAGTCTGTTTTTGGCAAACAGTGTGGTCACTGCCGGGTTTTCTCTAATGTATTCATTTTTTTACTTCCTTTCTAAAATATGCAGTTGGGATAATGAATCTATCCTGGTTGCACAGAGCTGGGTGCCGCGAGACACAGGTACGGTACCGCGATGATTGCGCTAGCTGTTTATCGTGTTTTATACCCCCTTCCACATAAAAGTTGTAAAATGGCTTTTCCCCCCCAAACAGTGATATTTGCCTCAGATGTAAGAATAAGTTTTGACAAATTTCGGAACTGCATGACGGCAACTGTAATCTCAAAAACCATTATTACGACTAATCCAGGTAACAGGCTATCTGCAATGTTGTGTCCCGTTGGAAATGACTGTGTCACACATTTCAATGTTTGTGCAGTGCATTTAAGAATGAAAATAAGGGGGGCGCCTGGGTGGCTCAGTCATTTGGGCATCTGACTCTTTGCCTGGAGTCATGGTCTCTGGGTTGTGGGATTGGCCCCAGTTGGGCCTGGAGTCTACTTAGGATTCTCCCCACTCCCTCTCCCCCTCCCCGCTCACTTACACATGCATGTGTACACACTCTTTCTCTTAAAAAAAAAAAAAGAATGAAAACAATTCTTTGATTTCATTTGAATTAAAAGTGAAAGTTGCTTTATATGCTTTAAATTTATCTTTCTTTAGTTTTTTTTTTTTTCTAGATTTTATTATTTGTCAGAGAGAGAGAGAGCACACAGGCAGGGGAATGGCAGGCAGAGGGAGAAGCGGGCTCCCTGCTGAGCAAAAGGAGCCTGATGTGGGACTTAATCCCAGGACCCTGGGATGGTGACTGGAATTGAAGCAGACGGAAAACCAACTGAGCCCCGCAGGGTCCCTTTACATTTATACTCCTTAAGCTTACAGTGAGCTGTATCTTTGATGTCCTTACTGACGAAAAATGTGAAAAACGAGACTCAGTTTTACTTTATGTTTTTAAGATATTTATTTATTTATTTGAGAGAGAGAAAGAAAGAGTGAGCACGAGCAGGGGGAAAAGACAGAGGCAGAGGGAGAAGCTGAGTCCTGTTGAACACGGAGCCTGACACAGGACTTGATCCCTGAAGCCTGGGATCATGACCTGACCTGAAGGCAGACTCTTAACCAACTGAGCCACCCAGGTGCCCCCAGACTCATTTTTAAAACATCATTTCTGGTGATGATTCTGGAGAGATCAGTGTAATTGATTGGATCACCTAAATTATTGACTATTTTATTTAAGTTTTTAAAAAATTTGTCAGAGAGAGAGAGAGTACAAGCAGGGGCGTGGCAGGCAGAGGCAGAGAGAAAAGCAGGCTACCCGCTGAGCAGGGAGCCCGATGTGGGACTCGATCCCAGGATCTTGGGATCATGACCTGAGCTGAAGGCAGTCGCCCAACCGAGCCACCCAGGCGCCCTAGTTATTGACTATTTTAAAAATAAATTCACTTTTACTATATTCAGATAACTTAGTACTAGAGTGCCGAGAACATACATGTCACATGATTAGTTTATCACCTAACAAAACACCCAGAAGGCCCACTGGAGTGGTTGTTGAAAGAAGTTAGAGCTTATGTCAGCATGCAGTCCGGGGAGCAGGGTCTTGGGAGAGGTGAGAAGTTGGTGCCCTCAAGTATCCTCATGGTCCTCTGTACTGTGGATAGAGAGGTGAGCCCAGCACCCTGGAAGAGTACAGAATTCCCAAAGATGGAATGTTCCTCCCAACTCAGGAAGCTGGGACTGTAGTAGTGGGTCACTTCTGGCAGTAGCTCCCTCTGCTGGTTGCTAACAAAGCACCAACAGTGACTAGTACAGTATTATACTGTACTGTATTGTATAGATTTTATTTATTTGATAGAGAGCGAGCAGATGGCCACGAGCAGGGGAGAGGAGAAGAGGGAGAGGGAGAAGCAGACTTCCCACTGAGCAAGGAGCCTGACATGGGACTTGATCCCAGGACCCTGAGATTATGACCTGAGCCAAAGGCAGAGTCTTAACTGACTGAGCCGGCCAGGCGCCCCTACAGTGACTGAGAATTACAAAGCAATTCTATGTCTTTGACCAAACCATTATCAGAATATTTTCAAGTAGCAGTGCTGGGAGATACGACATAAAATGATAAGACTGTGCTGCATATGTGTGCTGGACTTTGTGCATCCTCCCGAACACCGAGTCCCTGAAGGTGGCATCATGGAAGGTGACTTGACATGAACGTGCTGGGTGCAGGGCGTTGGCCTGGGGGCCAGTGACAAAACATAGATATCTCCGTGCACGTGAAGCTCACATTCTAGCAGGAGAGACACAGATGATAAATGGTAAAGATAACAAATCTGTGCATTATGATACTGAAGGAGAAAAAGAGGAACAGGATCAGCAGAGTCCAGGGCGGGTTGCACTTTACAGAGGGTGGTCAGGTAGGCCTCCTTGGGAAGGTGACATTTGAGCAAAGACGTGTTGGGGCAGTGGGGATTAACCACAGGAAAGAGCGTGAGGCTGTTAGTACTGGAACAGCCAGTGCAAAGGCCCAGTGGTTGGCATGTGCCTGTGTGAGAGCAGAACAGCAAGGAGGCCAGTGTGGCTGGAGCGTGTGGGGCACAGGCAGGAGGAGGGGTCAAGGTCAGAAGAGAAGCCTGGGTATCAAGAATGCCTTAAAGGCTAATGAAAGGATGTTGGCTTTTATTCTATAGCAAAGGGTTTGGAACAGAGCAGTGTCATTTTCTAAGCACTGAAAGGATCGCTTTAGCTACTTTGTTATAAATTGATGGTAACACAACCACGGTCTGTTCTCAACATTTAGGACAAGAATGCTACTCTTCAATTCCTTTTTTTTTTAAGATGTACAATAGTTTATTATTTTTAATAACTTATTAACAGTTTTATAGTATTATATAGAGTAATGTCAATGATTTAAAAGTCCCCATCTGCTGAGTGTAAATTTGGACTGGGATAATTTTTAAAAGAAAGTTAGATTCTAAAAGTCTGTTGGGGGGTTGCCTGGGTGGCTCAGTGGGTTAAGCCTCTGCCTTTGGCTCAGTTCATGATCTCGGGGTCCTGGGATTGAGCCCCGCATCGGGCTCTCTGCTTGATGGGGAGCCTGCTTCCCCCTCTCTCTCTGCTGCTCTGCCTACTTGTGATATCTGTCAAGTAAATAAATTTAAAAACAATAAAAGTCTGTTGGAAAAAGTTATCAAGCTTGGTAGGATAATTGTATCAATAACTCAGGGCTAAGTTAATGAAACACATATTCAGTGGATGTTGTCTGTTTGGTTCTGAACACAGCCTGAAAGGGAAATCTCAAAGTGTTTGGGCAGTGCCAACAGCACTAAAGTAAGTGCCTGCTTCTCAAAGTGACAAAGGAGAGTGCTTACAAGTGTGCGTGAATTTTTAAAAAAAGATTTTATTTATTTATTTGTTAGAGAAAGAGGGTGGAAAGAAAGGACAAGCAGGGGGAGCAGCAGGCAGAGGGAGAAGCAGGCTCCCCGCTGAGCAGGGAGCCTAATGTGGGACTCCATCCCAGGACCCTGGGATCATGACCTGAGCCGAAGAAGAAAAAGAGGAACAGGGTCAGCACAGTCCAGGGTGGGTTGCACTTTACAAAGAGTGTAAAGCTGAAGGCAGACGCCTAACTGACTGAGCCACCCAGGTGTCCCAGGGTGTGAGAATTTTAGTGTGCTTCTTTAAATCGGCTTTATTTGTTGCTTCTTTGTCTGCACCCACCAAGTACAAACTAAAAACCTCTAATGGCTTAAGCTTTCATCCTAGCTTCCCTTAGGGCTTCCTCTGCCCTGAGAGTGTCCATCAGGCAGCCCTGGATAGCCCTGTTGTCAGGAGGGACCTTTATAGCAGTGCTTGAAGGAAGCCTGGCACTTCGATTTCTGCGGCTTCACTGCAGCGCCGGCTCCTGCCTGGTGTGCAGCGCTCCCGCCCGTGTTTCAGAAGCATCCGGTCATTCATTCACTCATTAATTTACCAATATCTGTTGAATGGCTTTTATTTGCTAAGTAGTGAGATAACATGCGTCCTTCCTGGCACAAGGCAGGCTGCGATGGGTAGATGGCCAGGGACAGTTGCTGGAACTACCGAGCTGAAGAGGAGGCCACTGCTCACGAGGGGCTTCGGTCTTATTATGTGAAAGAACAGTGGTTAGACTCGGGGTTAAATGCGAGTGAGGAGGAAGGGCCTGCCTCTGCCCCAGGAGTCAGGGACCCAAGGGGCCAGGGGTCCAAGCAACAGCATGTTTGTAGAATGTTGGAGTAGGCGAGGGAAGGCTGAAAGGCCGATAAGTGTTGGAGGCTGAGGGGGCTTGTAGTTGAAGGATGTCAGAGTCAGGTGGGGGCCCTTTTTCCAAATCACGTTCTTGCCTGTGGGCACAACATCTGACTGCTCCTGAGAATACTTGTGTCCTAAGGCAAGCAGCAAGGCTTTTTAATACGCTTAAAATTTTATTTTCCTGCTTAAAAAAGAAATACATATAAAATTCAGAAAATACGTAATAGCAAAAAGGGAAAACAACAAGCCCCTATGATCTCACCATCTTATAAGAGAATCGTTTCTCTTCCAGGTACTTTCGCATTCCTGTATATATTTATGCCTTTTCAATTGAAAGGGAATTACACCACATCATTCTATAAGCTGCTCTTTAACAATAGCTGGTGTGTGTCTCTTGGTTTAGTAGACTACCGTGTCACATTGCTAATTGGCTGCATCATATTCTATCTGACTGTGTTTTCATATGTCTTCACTTTTACCATTAAAAATAATATTGGAGGGCGCCTAGTGTCTGACTCTTGATTTCGGCTCAGGTCTTAATCTCAGGGTCATGAGATCACGCCCTTCCTCTGGCTCCATCTCAACGCGGAGTCTGTTGACAGTCTCTCTCTAAATACGTAAATAAACAAATAAAATCTTGGGGTGTCTGGATGGCTCAGTCAGTTGAGCAGCCGACTCTCCATTTCAGCTCAGGTCACAATCGGGGTCCTCGGATGCAGCCCCGTGTTGGGCTCTGCACTTAGCGGGGAGTCTGCTTGGGACTCTCTTTCTCTCCCTCTGCCCCTCCCCACTGCTTACATGTGTGCTCTCTCTCATATAAAGAAATCTTAAAAAAAAAAGTAATCAGTTGCGTTTCACTTATATTATGCATCTTTTATTTAAGATACCCCAGAAGCTAACATCCTGTTGAATTTTATAAGAGAAAATAAAGAAACAAATCCTCTGGATGCTGAAATGGACAGTTACTTGAGAGAATCCGTAAATTGTAAGTGACCTTTAAATTATTTTTTTGTTTCACATAGAAGAAGATACCATATTCTTTTCCTGTAACTGCTATATTTCCACTTTCTAAAAGGTTATTTAAAATTTTTAGAAGTTTTGGGGCACCTGGGTGGCTCAGTCAGTTGGGTGTTGACTCTTGGTTTTGGCTTCGGTCGTGATCTTGGGGTTGTAGGATTGGGCCCTGTGTGGCGCCCTGCACTCAGTACGGAGTCTGCTCAGGATTCTCTGCTCCTCCCTCTGCCCCCACATGCTCTCACTCTCTCTGGGATAAATAAATAAATAATCTTCAGAGGTTTCTATAACCTTTTCCCAATCTAATAGAAGTTAAAAAAATTGAGCTGACTGCCTTTTTCTTACTGATTTTTAAGAATTATTTATATATTCTGGATATGAGTCCTTTGTCTCCCACGCTGAGGCTTGCCTTCCCACTCTTTTAATGGCATCTTCTGATGACCAGAAAGTCTCCACTGACATAAAATGAATTAAATTTCTCATTCTTTCCCTTTTTTTGCTTATTATTTTTGGTTGTTATGTCCATTTATATAATCAGTCTTAATACAGCAAATGTAATAATTTTTCTGTTACTTAACTGAAGCTATTACATGTTCTCATTTTTTTAAAGATTTTATTTATTTATTTGAAAGAGAGAGACACAGCGAGAGAGGGAACACAAGCAAGGGGAATGGGAGAAGGAGAAGCAGGCTTACTCCGGAGCGGGGAGCCCGATGCAGGGCTTGATCCCAGGACCCTGCGATCAGGACCTGAGCCAAAGACAGACGCTTAATGACTGAGCCACCCAGGCAGCCCTGAACTTTACAGTTTTTCTATTTAGATATAATCCTTTGGAATTCTTAGAATATATAGAGAGCCGTGATAACTTCTTTTTATTTTCAGTAAATACAATAGTTGATGTCTACACAGTTGAGCAATTAAAAGTAAAAGCTTTGAAGAATGAAGGGAAGGCTGACCCTTTCTATGGCATTCTTTATGCTTACATTTCTACGCTGAATATTGATGATGACGCCACGACAGTAGTTCGACACCAATGGTGAGCAGCCCGTATTGTCAGCAAGCTGCTTCTTATAAGAAATAAAGACCAACTATTGCTAGTAAATGTTAATCTCTATAAAAGTTAAAGCTGTTCTTTGACATAACAGTTATTATGTATGCTATTTTTTATTTTGTTTTTATTTTTTAATTTTTAATTTTTATTTTTACAAAGATTTTTATTTATTTATTTGACAGAGAGAGACACAGTGAGAGGGAACACAAGCAGGGGGAGTGGGAGAGGGAGAAGCAGGCTTCCTGCTGAGCAGGGAGCCCTATGTGGGCTGATCCCAGGACTCTGGGATCATGACCTGAGCTGAAGGCAGGTGCTTAATGATTGAGCCACCCAGGCGTCCCAGTTGTTATGTATTTTAAATAAATGTATAAATAAATAACCCATACTGAAGTTTCCAAGGCAAACTATGTTGATTCAAAGGTTACAATTACTTTTCAAAGTAAAATTTGATTTGCTGTGTTTCTGTAATCCTAAAATATGAAGATATAATGGTGCCAGAAACTACTTTTTTTTAAGATTTTGTTTATTTATTACAGATAGAGAAAGAGAGAGAGAGCATGAGCTGGGAGAGGGGGAAGGGCAGAAGCAGACTCCCTGCTGAGTAGGGAGTCCACTCTGGGGCTTGAGCTCAGGACTCTGGGATCATGACCTGAGTTGAAAGTAGAAGCATAACTGACTGAGCCCCCCAGACACCCCTGCTTCCAGAAAGTTTTAAGTGAGATGACAAACTGTTGTTTTATAATATATTAGAATATTATTTTGGTTACTGTGTCCTATAGCAATGCAAGGGACAGCATTTATTTATTTATTTTTTAAATTTTATTTATTTATTTAACAGACAGAGATCACAAGTAGGCAGAGAGGCAGGCAGAGAGAGAGAGGGAAGCAGGCTCCCCACCGAGCAGAGAGCCTGATGCGGGGCTCGATCCCAGGACCCCGAGATCAGGACCTGAGCCGAAGGCAGAGGCTTTAACCCACTGAGCCACCCAGGCGCCCCAAGGGACAGCATTTAAAAACAACTATTTTCAGGGGCACCTGGGTGGCTCAGTGGGTTAAGCCTCTGCCTTTGGCTCAGGTCGTGATCTCAGGGTCCTGGGATCCAGCCCCGCATCGGGCTCTCTGCTCTGCGGGGAGCCTGCTTCCCTGTCTCTCTCTCTGCCTGCCTCTCTGCCTACTTGTGATCTCTGTCTGTTAAATAAATAAATAAAATCTTTAAAAACAAAACAAAACAAAAAGAAATTTCACCACATTGACCTGCAGTCGTGCACGTGTGTGTGTGTGTGTGTGTGTGTGTGTGTGGTTTTGTAGGGTTTTATCACATGTGTGGGATTGTGTATCTACCACCATAGTCAAGATACTGGCCTATGGATTTTGAAAATATTTTATGATTTGCTATTAAAATTGAAAAAGACCAAAGCGGAGGCTGCTGTGTAAGTCAAGTGTTTAGTTTTTGAAGAACATTTTTCAAAAACTTTTGAAAAACTCATTGTCTCCCTAATTTCTTCCTATGTCTTTAATATTGATATCTGAGGAAAAGCATCTGAAATTTACCTTAAAAGTGATCTGAGCCCAGACAGGAAAGCACTGTCTTCAGATCACACCTTCCAGTCTTTCTGTCCAAATTGGGTAAAGTCAGACCTGCCTCAAAACCGGGAATGGCGTGTCATCACCGTTTAGAGAGAGAAGATTGCGTCACTAGCAGAGCAAGAACATTCTGGGCGTGAACCTGACCCTCCCTAGGATTTTTCTGTTGAGGTGCCCAAGGCCTAGCACAGAAGCATGGAGTGAGCATTCGTGGAACTTGGGCTTTCTAGGCACGAGACAGGATTCTTCCCTCAAAGCCCTGAGCTGGGGAGAGCAGGCGGACCTACCCCCAGTAGGGAGGAATAGGACAGCACAGGATAGAGGGGTGGGGCTCACGCCGTTTAGAGCTGGGAAGGGGTAAAGGAAGGGAGCCTTAGCAGGGGCAGGGTGGGAGGCAGGGCGGTAAAAATGGGATTGATTGCACATATATCTGTCTGGTATCCTGCACTATGCTGAGCACTCTGAAGTTACTCTGATTTAGACTTTTTTTTAAAGATTTTATTTATTTATTTGACAGAGATGACAAGTAGGCAGAGAGGCAGGCAGAGAGAGAGGAGGAAGCAAGTTCCCTGCTGAGCAGTGAGCCTGATGCGGGGCTCGATCCCAGGACCCTGAGATCATGACCTGAGCCCAAGGCAGAGGCTTTAACCCACTGGGCCACCCAGGTCCCCAATATAACGGATTAAGACTTTTAAGGGAGCGTGGTTCTTCTGCTGGAGATCAGGTTGGTCATTTATGGCCTTTACGTTTTATCCTTGTCTCTGTTTCTTTTCAGCTCAGGCTGTGGTTATGTTGTAAATGAAGCATCCAGCACTTGTACTGCTTGCAGCAAAAATTCTTTGGAATTTCGGTCTGTTTTTCTCAGCTTCCACTTGCTGATTGACCTCACGGACCACACAGGTACCCTCCAGGCCTGCAGTCTCACGGGACGGGTTGCTGAGGAGACGTTAGGCTGCACCGTAAGTGACAGAAAGGAAGACGTGTTTTGAAATAATTCCAAATTGAGTTCTCTTCCCCTCAAGGATAGGTTATTTCGGTGAACAGTTGGTAGAAATTAAGTCATTCATGAAGAGGTCTGGGGAAAAAACTCAAGCCTGATTTAAACATGCGTTGTTTTCGTGAACAAATAATTGCTTGCCGTGTGTTCAGATGACAGCTGATGCTGTTGTCGGGGACAGCGGCCGGCGCTGCTGACCGTGGGTCAGAAAGAAGACGTTTTCTATAGTCGAGTAACAGTGTGCAGAGCACATTGGAGATGCTGATGTGTTGAGGCAGAAGGAGGGTCTGGGGATGCTTCCCCAGCTGCTGGAGGAAGTCACCCCGCAGGGAGTCAGAACACACAGTGCCGTCCTCCGTCAGGGTGTGTGCGCGCGATGACAGGCTCTCGGTTTTTCTATTAGTGCCAGCTCGTGCGGTTTGCCATGAGCCCCCAGCCCCGCCAGTGTCAGGTTTTTTTTTTTTTTAAAGATTTATTTATTTGACAGAGAGAAAGATCACACATAGGCAGAGAGGCAGGCAGAGAGAGAGGGGGAAGCAGGCTCCCCACTGAGCAGAGAGCCCGATGCGGGGCTGGATCCCAGGACCCTGAGATCATGACCTGAGCCGAAGGCAGAGGCTCAACCCACTGAGCCACCCAGGCGCCCCCCGTGTCAGGTTTTTAAGGGGAGTTTTCTGGGCTGAGCCACCTGACTGGTGTCAGATATTCAGCTCGGAGACTTTCTGACCTTATCTCCTCCATGAAGACAACTGAGCTGTAATTACTAAAAGCAAAATTCCATTTTAGTGCACAAAGCCAAGTTTCACATTGTTAAGGGGAGTTATTTACACGGATTTTGGAAATATTTGTCTGTTTTAACCAGGTAAATGAGTTTCTTGCAATGACGGATGAACAGAAAACAGCACTGAAGTGGCAATTTCTTCTGGAAAGAAGCAAAATTTATTTAAAAGTTAGTGTATTTTACAGTACTATATTATTCTATATATTCAAGTAGTAAGAAAATCCTAGAGTATGACCTAATAAACTAGGGAATTTATTATTTTTAATAATGTCCAGTCCTAGATATGCAGAAGACTCTGGCTAATGTGGGAACAATGCAAGTAATTAGGTGTTTGTTTGCTTGTTTCATGTACTATAAAGGGATTCCGCGTGACACCAAAAGAGTAGACCAACGTGGGCGTCTGGCTGACTCATTCGGTGGAGCATGTGACTCTTTTTAAAAAAAATTTTAAAGTTTAAAATCAATTAATATATAATATCTTATTTGTTTCAGGGGTACAGGTCTGTGATTCCTGTCTTACGTAACCCCTAGTGCTCACCACAACACATGCCCTCCCCAATGTCCATCATCCAGTTAACCCTATCCCTCACCCCAACCTCCAGCAACCCTCAGGTAGCATGTAACTCTTGATCTCAAGGTCATGAGTTCAAGCCCCACGTCCGGTGTAGAGATTACTTAAAAATAAAATGTTGGGGGGGGGGGAAGAAATAGACCAACAAAGACAATATCTGTTATATTTTGTCCAACGAGGGCCCTGGGCTGTAGAGTCAAAGCTGGTACCCCACCCCTGTCCCGCCCCTGTCCCGCCCATGGAGCAGTGCTCCTCACCTCCGTGAGTAGCATCAGGTGGCACAGTCACATGCCTGGATGCAGGGGAGAGACAGGCTGGGTCTGAGTCCCAGCTCCACCACTCATCAGCCTCTGCGACCCTCTGGAGCTCTGTGATCCTGCATCTCTAGTCGGAGCCCCACTAACAACACTTCAGCGTGGGAGGGTCACAGAATCTTTCGGATCAAAGGTGTGAAAAGGGAGGAGACAAACTCCTTTGTTTTGCAAATGCAGAAAATGGAATCCAGAAATGTTGCTACTTACACCAGGTCACAGGTGAGATGGGCTACAGCCTACGCTCTCTCTCCTTCTATCAGTCTCAAGAGAGTTATATCTGTCGGGACTTACTGCGCTAGAACGTGACACTGAGAATAATTTAAAACCTGTTCCTGAGCCGACATTCCATAAACCGTCAACAGTGATGTCATTCCATGCCCACAGCCTCTAACACGGTGTGTTCTTCCCAAGAGCGAGAGTGAGAAAGGCAAACGGCATCTTGGTATAATCACGAAAATAGTTGTGATCTCTCGGGTACTCTGCATAGTTTTGGGGAGCACTGTACCCGCTCCAGCTAGGCCTCAGAAACTGCGGTGCCCACTTCCCAGCGCTGCTTTCCGTGGGGCCTTAAGCACGTCTGAGCGGGTTGCAGACATGGAGTTACCCATGGGCTCCCTGATATTCCTGGCACATTGGTTTGAGGCCTCTTTATTACTAGGCTGGAGGGGGATTGCAGGAACATACTGGATCTCTTCCGCCATTAGCATGGATCCTTCTGCGTACTGTCTGTCCCAGAGCGGAGTACGCTCAGATCTCTGACCAACTTCGCTTCCCTCCAGACAAGAGGTGCCAGTGGTAATGAGTTTGATCAGTTTAAATCCATGGCAGGTTCCTTATAGTTTCCCTAACTTGATCTAAACATAACAAGAAATTGTTCTCAAAAAGGGGGACGTTGTCCCTTTCCAAAGGACTTGTTTAAAAGGTGTTTAAGTCAGATTGAACAGATTTTAAGCATATATAAAAGGATTCTGTCAGGGCGCCTGGGTGGCTCAGTGGGTTAAGCCTCTGCCTTCAGCTCAGGTCATGATCTCAGGGTCCTGGGATCGAGGCCCGCATCGGGCTCTCTGCTCAGTGGGGAGCCTGCTTTCTTCTCTCTCTCTCTGCCTGCCTCTCTGCCTACTTGTGATCTCTCTCTCTCTGTTTCAAATAAATAAATAAAATCTTTAAAAAAAAAAGGATTCTATCACAAAATAAAGATCATGATAATCTAACAATTTCAATTGTTTTAACTTATTTTTTTATAGAATATTTTAAAAGATTGTATTTATTTCTTTGACAGATAGATCACAAGTAGGCAGAGAGGCAGGAAGAGAGAGGAAGGGAAGCAGGCTCCCTGCTGAGCAGAGAGCACGACTTGGGGCTCGATCCCAGGACCTTGGGATCATGACCTGAGCCAAAGGCAGAGGCTTAACCCACTGAGCCACCCAGGTGCCCCTAGGAAGGGGTTCTTAAAAAATGAATTCAAAAAAGTTTTAAGACGCAGAGGCTGACAGCAGTGCTGAACTGGGGTTCTCTGTAGATAGCAAAACCCGCCTCTTCCCCGGGGAGAGCTGACTGTGTCTTCACATAGACAGGATTCCTTTGGATTGCCCTGAGTAGGACTGCTCTTTGCATCACTGTTTTCTACAACGTACTGTGGAGAACAGCTCAGCCATGGCCAGGACAGGGGCCGAGCCCTGCAGAATGAGGTCACCCTGACTGTAGGGGCGGGGGTGCTCCGCTGAAAGACGCTCGCTTATCCTCATCGCCCACCTCGGCCTTTCGGTGTTTCCTGACATTCATCTGTGTTTTCCTGTTAGTCTTTGAAACTAGCATGGCCAACTAACGTGTCCTTCCACTGTATTAAATAAAACATCGGTGAAAGTGCTTTGTTAAATGTCAAGAATAAGACATTGTTCTTAACAAACTGCATTATCACATCCCCAGAGCCTGTCAGACTTAGGTGACTACCACAGGTTAACACTGTCACAGCTACTAGTTTGAACACATTTTATTTTTACATATAACTTCTTTAGTTGTTGATTTAAGTCATCTCTACACCCAGTGCAGGACTTGAACTCATGACCGGGAGAGTGAGAGTGGCATGGTCTTCCAACGGAGCCTAGGCCAGCGTCTCCTTGAACACACTTTATACCCTTCTTTTGTATGTATTGGATTTGAAACTTCAACTTCCCTACCAAAGAGAAATGTCATGAGAAAAATAACACAGATTTTTATAAAATTACTGTCAGGAGCCAGATATGTCATTTCCCTCCCAAACTCCCTCAGTGTGAACTCTCTCCCTCGTCTTACAGCGGTCATTAGACTTGACACTCACACCTGCAGAACAGCTCGTCATGGTTCTCTACTGCATTCTCTTCTCTGGTCACTGGTTTTCAACTTTATATATGTAGTGATTTTTACAATTAACTCCTGTCTCTCTCTTTTCTCCCTACAGCTTTTTTTATCACACAGAGCGAGGGGCGGATTGAGAATTAGTGTGCTCTCATGTAAGCTGGCAGACCCTGTTGAGGCAAGTAGGAGCTTGTCTGGGCAAGGAAAAATTTAAAACAAGATACTTCAAACTCTGGACAAGAATATGAGTTTCTATTTTCTTGAGAGTGGAAAATGAGTTTGAAAACTATGGATAAAATTGTATTTTGTTCAAAGGTGGTAAAAATGTTTCTATAAATTGTTATTATGTATCCTTCTGGAGCTGGTTAGGGGATAAGTCTTAAAATCTCTCATCCACCCCAGCTCCTTTCCTAGAAGGCCTTTTGGCTGATTTTGCCCTCTCTTCCCAAGCTGGAAAATGTGTGTGGGAATTAATAAACACATTTAACCTTCCCCCACAGATATCAGTGATTTCTTAAACCCGTTTCCTCTTTGTCTTATTTTCCTGGGGAAAGATCAGAACCTCCTAAAATGACCTTCCTGGAGCTTGGTGGTGGCTGAGAATGCCTTCCAGGAACTGCTGGGACACAGGCAAGGGCTTCTTGGTGGCTCAGGGTGGGAACAGCGGAAGCCCAAGGCCGCAGGCAGTGCTGGGCAGCAGCTTTGAACCCTGAACAGCTTCTCTGAGCCTTGCCTTCTCTGATGACACATGCGGCCGCCCAGCGCTTGTGAAGACTGGCTGCCATGGGGGTGACAGGGGTGAGATGTGGGAGTCTGAATCACCTGGGAGGAGACCAGCCTCAAAAGATCTCGGAGTGGCACCAGTCTGGGACCTGGAAGGGCAGGGCTGCTCCGACAGGACGCCGGCCCCAGCCTCCCCGCGCTGCACTGGTCCTGGCTGTGTGCCGGAGCACTGTGCTCAGCCCCACACCGTCCCGAGTCACCGGCTGCAGGACATGGGTTTACCAGCAGTCACTGCTGGCCCACAGTCTGGCAGGTTTGGCGTTTCCAGCACCCACCACAGGAGAAAAGAACAAAAAGTAAGTATCTGAAACTCTTTCTCACAAAGCTGGTGTTGGGAGATAAACATGTCAGCAGTGTTGTCTCTGGCTTTTACCATCGGCAGCCGTGTCAGAGGGCATGAGTGGACCCTAGTGTGTCCGGATTGTGGTAATGAGTGAGGCAGGGCAGGACTTGACCTACGTGTGCAGATGGGGGTGCGCCCCATGAAGAGCTTCCTTTCCCCCTCCCCTGGGGCAGGGTATGCGTGTGCTAAGCAAGGTGACTCCAGAAGAGAAGGAAGGTGGCAGAGTGGTGGAGCGGGAGGGTTCGGGCTGCGGAGGAGAGAGAAGTGGGGGCCTGCCTGGTCGTCACATTCACACTCTCTGCTGATTAAGCAAGAGCGGGTGTCCAAGAGCAGAGGAGACCAGGGAGGACACCTGGCCCGGGTGGTGTGTGTCAGGAATGGCTCTGCCAGACCTCCTGGTGCCCTGACCTCTGCCAGCGGGTCCCAAAGCACCAATGCCTGGACCACAGGAGTTGGTACCAGCTGTGTGGGCTCCTGCCCTCTGGGGGCCTCTGTTGCCCGATGGCCTCAGCAGCATAATACAGATGCCTAATATAGGCATTCTCAAATTAGGCTTTTATGTCATACCCAGTGTTCCCCAGCCACAGCTATGGGCCCTAGCTGTGCCGTGGAGGGCTCTGAACAGTCTCTTCACTGCTACCTTGGTGACCTCTCAGTCCACCAGCATTTAACCAAGGAAACCCCGTGCGTGTACGTGGAGGGCCCCCCCCCCCCGCCGATTGCTGATTTCATCTGATACCATAGGAATCTACGGGGCTAGGTGTCTGGCCACACTGAATCAAAGGGGCTTCCCAAGATTAACTCACACATTTATGAAATGAAGATGACAAATTGGTTGATTTCTAAAATCTGACTGTAGATTAGCCAGAATTCACGCACTCAGAGGCATAAAGAAAGAAGCATCCCACTCCGTCACTACAAACTGCGCGAGTTCCTGTCCAGCAGCTCCGCTTGCCGCTGCCCTCCAGGAGCTGCTTTTCCTGTTCTGGCATCTTCCCATCTGCAGGTTTGCTTTGCTTTATGTAAATAGTGTGCTGACTGCATGATTCTTCCTGATCTACTCGTGGTCGCTTTCGGTAAGGTTCTCCTTTCCTAATTTTGCTGTGCACGTGGCAGAATATGTGATACGCTTCACGTAAAATTGATCATTTTACCATTTTTAGGTGTACAATTGAATGGCCTTAAATACATTCACAGTGTTGTGCGACCATCACCACATCCATCTCCAGAACTTTTTCATCTTCCCAAACTGACACTCTGTCCCCGTTAGACAATCGCTCTCTATTTCCACTTCTCCAGCCCCTGCTAACCTCTGAGCTGCTTCATGTCCATGAGCTTGACGACTCTGGGTACTTCATGTGAGACATGACCTTCTGTGGTGGCTTCTTTCTCTGGCATGACGTGTCTGAGGTCCACCCATGTCACAGCAGCTGTCAGTGCATCCTTGTGGCTGAGGACTTTCCCGCCGTATGGACAAACACTTTGTTCCCCCACTCTTCTGTCTGTGGACATCTGGGCTGTCTTCACCTTTTGGCTCTTGTGATTGGCCAGTTACAGCTACTGTGAGCATGTGCTTATAAGCGCCCTCAATTTTGTGTGTCTTTCCTGTCAGATGTATTCATCTTTCTTTGTTAAAATGTACAGTTTGCAAGTACAGGACACTCTATATCTGTTTACGCTTAATACTTTGTTATAAACCTTTTTACATGATTCAGTATTCGAGCTAACTTTAATGGCTATATATCATTTCATTCATTATATAAATGTAATGAATCCAATGCTGTTAGACATTTAAGATGTTCCCCATTTGTTACTATTGGAAATGACAGCTGTAGCTGAATTTTTGTCCACATTCTTTTTTTAAATTTTTATTCATTTTTTAAAATTTCTTTTCAGTGTTTCAGAATTCATTGTTTATACAGCATACCCAGTGCTCCATGCAACCCGTGCCCTCCATAATACCCACCACCAGGCTCACCCAACCTCCCACCCTGCTCCCCTCCAAAACCCTCAGTTCCTCAGAGTCCCCAGTCTCTCATGGTTGCTCCCTCCCTGCGATTTCCCCCAACTCCCTTCTCTCCATCTCCCCATGTCCTCCGTGTTATTCCTTATGCTCCACAAGTAAGTGAAGCCATATGATAATTGACTTCCCCTGCTTGACTTCTCTCATTCAGCATAATCTCCTCCAGTCCCATCCACATTGATACAAAAGTTGGGTGTTCATCCTTTCTGATGGAGGCATCATACTCCATAGCATATGTGGACCACATCTTCCTTATCCATTCGCCTGTTGAAGGGCAACTTGGCTCTTTCCACAGTTTGGCAACTATGGCCATTGCTGCTATGAACATTGGGGTACCGGTGGCCTTTCTTTTCACTACATCTGTATCTTTGGGGTAAATACCCAGTAGTGCAATTGCAGGGTCATAGGGAAGCTCTATTTTTAATTTCTTAAGGAATCTGCACACTCTTTTCCAAAGTGGCTGCACCAACTTGCATTCCCACCAACAGTGTAAGAGGGTTCCCCTTTCTCCACATCCACTCCAACACATATTGTTTACAGTCTTGTTAATTGTGGCCATTCTGACTGGTGTAAGGTGGTATCTCACTGTGGTTTTTATTTGAATTTCCCTGATGGCTAGTGATGATGAACATTTTTCATGTGTCTGTTAGCCATTGGTATGTCTTCGTTGGAGAATTGTCTGTTCATGTCTTCTGCCAATTTTTTGACATGATTATCTGTGTTGTGTGTGTTGAGTTTGAGGAGTTCTTTATAGATCCTGGATATCAGCCCTTTGTCTGTAGTGTCGTTTGTGAATATCTTCTCCCATTCCGTGGGTTGCCTCTTCGTTTTGTTGACTATTTCCTTTACTGTGCAGAAGTTTTTGATCTTGATGAAGTCCCAAAAGTCATTTCCTTGGGATAAGTTCTGGACATTAAGTTGCGATAATAACATGAATAGCTAACATAATTGAGTGCTTTCCGTGGGACAGACACTGTAATAGACACTTACAGTACCCAATTTATGATTTTATTATTTTTTGGAAGATTTTATTTATTTGACAGAGAGAGCACAAGCAGGGGGAGGAGCAGAGGGAGAAACAGACTCCCCACTGAGCAGGGCACCCCACATGGGGCTCGATCTCAGGACTGGGATCATGACCTGAGCCAAAGGCAGATGCTTAACTGACTGAGCCACCCAGGGGCCCCTCATACTCAGTTCATACAAGGACTGTTAGTTTGCCCATTTTGCAGATGGGACCTGAAGGCCCAGCTGCAGGAGTTGAAATAGAGGTGGTCGTGTGGGCAGGTATTACTGGAGGCTCACACTCCATGTGCTGCTTCCGGGATGGTCTTTGGCTCTGAGCTTCTCCATCTGGGTTTCCTTTTGTAAACAGGGATAACAATACCAACTTCTCTTGGTGACTGTCAGGACTGAGCACATGCATGTATGTCAAGGGCTTAGACTCAGATGCCAGGACATGATCAGGGAGTATGTTATTGTAAATGTTGAAGGAGAGCAGTTTCACTGCCACTCATATCTGGCAATATTTTTGTTGTGTGAATCCCATTCCGGTTTTGTAGTCTGATTTGTTTTTTCTATAGTTGATTTTTTTTTTTTTTAAGTAGACTCCACGCCCAAGGTGTGGCTTGAACTCATGACCCCAAGATTAAGAGTTGTGTGCTCGGGGCCCCTCAGAGGCTCAGTCAGTTGAGCGTCCGACTCCTGGTTTTGGCTCAGGTCATGATCTTAGGATCTTGAGATCAAGGCCTGCGTTGGGCTCAGCGCTCAGCACAGGGTCTGCTTGAGATTCTCTCTCCCTCTTCCCCCGCCCCTCTCCCCCATGCTCTCCCATATGGTCTCTCTCTCTCGCTCTCAAATAAATAAATAAGTCTTGGGGTAAAAAAAAAAAAGTGTTCTGTGCTCTACCAACTGGGCCAGCCAGGCACCCATATAGTTGAGTTATAGTTACAATTACTCTTTCCCTTTAAAATATATGAAAGCGTTTAGCATATTTGAATTTATCATATTGAAAAGAAATATAAAACTTACCTGAAATCAAGGGTACTATACCAACATTAATACCACAGATGTGCCCAATAGTCTCATCAAAACAATAACTAAGTACAAAAATATTGAAAGATGTTAGCCTCACTATTAATGAAAGAAATGCAAATTAAAATGACCACAGCCATAGGGAAGCCCGGGTGGCTCAGGTTGTTTAAGCGTCTGATTCTTGGTTTCGGCTCAGGTCCTGATCTCAGGGTTGTGAGACGGAGCCCTGTCTGGCTCCAGGCTCAGCGGGGAGCCTGCTTGAGAGTCTCTCCCTCTCCTTCCACCCCTTCCCACCCCCATGCTCTCTTTCTCTCTAAAAATAAATAAATCTTTTAAAAAAGTGATTATAGCCATAATACCAGCATTGGGTACGGTGTGCATAAAAAGGTATTTTTACACACTCATGTCAAGTACAAATTTGTGTGTCACTTTCCCATGGCAAATTGGCAAATTATTTATTTATTTATTTAAGATTTTATTTATTTATTTGACAGACATCACAAGTAGGCAGAGAGGCAGGCAGAGGTGGGTGGGGAAGCAGGCTCCCCACAAAGCAGAAAGCCCACTACGGGGTTCGATCCCAGGACCCCGGGATCATGACCTGAACCAAAGGCAGAGGCTTAACCCACTGAGCCACCCAGGTGCCCCGCAAATACGTAATTTAAAGTGCAGACCATTTAACTGATTTCACGCCTATGCCTTTCCCTAGGGAAGTAAACAAACGTCACATGATGTAAGTGGAGGAAGTCCCTTATGTCACTGTTTCTGACAGGACAATGTTTGAAAGCTGTGCGGCCTATAGGGGAATGTTGGGCCCCACCCAGGTCCCCTGACCCTGCAGGCACACAACTATCCCTCAGCTTCTCTAAGGGGGATAGTTAACCTGGGGGAAGTTATGGGAGGTGTGGGGAGCAGATGTCGACAGTGACTTCCCCTTGGGATGGTCAGTGGACTAAAGCTCATATCTAGCTCTGAGGCCACCACGCTCTTTCTCCGTCGGCTCTCTGCCCTTTCTGCTTCCTCTGCACTTTTCTCCTGAGAGTGCTCCCTCAGTAACCCATCTGGACAAGAACCCCACCTTGGCTTGGCCTCTGGGGTACTCAGTCTAGGACACAGCATTAAAAAGGATTATGAAAACCTTTATTTACTGGCCTGGAAAGATGCTCACAGTATATTAATTGGATGTAGTATACTCACTTTTTGTAAAAGCCCAGTGAACATTAAAGAAAAGTGCAGAAGGGGCGCCTGGGTGGCTCAGTGCGTTAAATCCTCTGCCTTCGGCTCAGGTCATGATTCCAGGGTCCTGGGATCGAGCCCCACATCGGGCTCTCTGCTCAGTGGGGAGCCTGCTTCCTCCTCCTTCTCCCTCTCTCTCTCTGCCTGCCTCTCCGCCTACTTGTGATCTCTGTCTTCCAAATAAATAAATAAATAAATAAAATCTTAAAAAAAAAGTGCAGAAGAACACATGAAGCCATACAGTCTACATGAACTAATATATTATGGAATTTTTTTCTTAAGTGTGGTAATGGTATTGTATCTATATAGGAGAAGGTTCTTATCCTTAGGAGATGCATACTGGAAGGGTTGAGTGTTTCTGCAACTCATGTCCAGTTTTCCGGCCCAAGTGTGTTCAGGCGTATCTGTATGTGGAGAGAGACCGAGTGTGAAGTGAGAGGGAAGAAACATAACCAATGTTAACAATTACTGAAGGGTGCGTGGAGTTCACTGTATTAGTCTTTCGACTTCTTAGCAGGTTTAAATTTATTCAGAATAAAAAGTTGGGGGAAAATGTGGCTCCTGGGCACTAGGATTACTGTGATTTTTAGCAAGATCAGGAATTGTGGGAATTGGTGTTTCTGATTTTTGTTCTTGAGGCCAAGGACTTTGTGTGCTACACCTGCAATGCTGTTGTCACCTGTTTGTGCCAAAGCTCGTGCCACCACCGTAGAGAACGCTGAGCTACATGGGAGCTGGTTTGTGCTGCTCAAGGGGCCTGCTGTGAACCTGCTCCTGCCTCACACGTTTTGGCCCACTCAGAAGTCCGTCAGCTTGGTGGACTCGTCTCAGCTGGACCTCGTGTCTGCTGGTTAGACGAATACACGCTCAGTTATGGGCACCCTTCAGCTGGCTCTTCCGCCGCGGGGAACGTAGCCCAGTGCAGGAATTACAGATACGCGGATTCTACTAGCAAATGGCCAGAAACCATTTCATTTGCCAACGATGGAGTCATTTCAGAATCTTGCAGTCACTGAAAATAGCGCAGCAGCAATGTGCCGACCGCCACAGAGTCACAACACACTGAGGAAAGGTTAGGAAATTGAGTTCTGTGCAGATCTCCTAAGAACTGCAATTACAACCACAGATTTGGAAGAAGGCACATTAAATGCTTCACTTTGGCTGTGTCTGGGTGAATGGAATTTTGGGTGTTTTTGCTTATTCGTACTCTTGAACTCCTCTGTAATAAACATAGTGCTTAGGCAATTAAAATAAGAATCTTGATTAGAAGATAAAACAAGTTAAGGTAGTATGACATCTAATAAAAAGGTCCAGTCCTGGCACTTCTTCACAATAAATTATAAATTAGATGTGGGGGTTGCCTAATACTTACATGTTTGAATCTTATGTATTTCCCTGCAGGATACAGCCTGCATTGTCATCAGGACTTCATGTTCTGCTCTTAAGAAAGCTAGGTTGTAACTTGGTTCTTTCCCTCAGCTGAGTGACCAGAAAGCCAGGCTAGCTAGCCTCTAAATCTACATGTTCATGTTTAACAGGGATGGTAGTAATACCAAACTCCCAGCTTTGGTAAGGTTAAGTAACACACGGAAAGCTCTTGACCCAGTGCCTAGCAGTACGAAGGGCTCAGTAAATGTGGCCAGTTATTAAATTAGATGTCCTCAGCTTTCTGCGAGGGGACTGCAGATGTCTTCCGTTTACATCTCCAGCAGGAGCCCCTGCCTGAAGGATACCACCGTACCACGGGCACTATGCATCCTGCCAAAACTTTTTGTCCACGGAGAGCAGGTAGGAACAAAAGTAGCTCTCCGGGGGCATTCAGCTTCCTCATCTCTGGTTGGAGGTAGAGGTGCTGATTAACTCTGTTAATAGCGCACGGTTCTCTAGAGGCCAAAGGTCAATGACCAAGGTCTGAACCCCTTGGTGAGGAAGTGTGCCTCTTAGCCATTAATGAAGCGATAAAAGTAAACTTTCAGGCCAAATAAAAGAAAGCATTTTTATTTGGAAAACAATCATTTCAAAATTATCTCCCAAACTCATAATATTACAGGCCATGGTACAAATGAGTGAGGTTGCCATTAATCGTTCATTTATTAAATACAATTTTAAATTGTGTGGAGTAGCGTTTATCCACATTTCCAAAAGAAGCACTGAGGAGTGCTGGAGATTAATTCTGCTAATTAATACAGTGGGCTTGGTATGGGCAAGTGATGTGGAAATATTTATTTTTACAAATACCTCTCGATGATTATCATGATCAATTTAGGATACGTGATTTTCAAAATATTTTGCGTATTTTTTTAAAAGATTTTATTTATTTCACAGAGAGAGATCACATGTAGGCAGAGAGGCAGGCAGAGAGAGGGTGAAGCAGGCTCTCCGCTGAGGGGAGAACCTGATTCAGGGCTTGACCCCAGGACCCTGAGGACCTGAGCCAAAGGCAGAGGCTTAACCCTCTGAGTCACCAAGGTGCCCCTCTTTTGCATATTTTAAGTTTTGAATTACTGATCTCAGAATGTCTCAATGAAAAGTCTTTTCTTAAAAAACTTAAAAAAAAAAAAAGATTTGTATTTATTTGAGAGATAAGGGATGAGCCAGGAGGAGGGGCAGAGGGGAAAAGTAGAGTTCCCGCTGAGCAGGGAGCTTGACTTGGGGGCTCAATCCCAGGACCCAGGGATCATGACCTGAGAGGAAGACAGATGCTTAACAGACTGAGCCACCCAGGCACCCCCCCAATGAAAAGTCTTATCCACTCCAGTTTTAGGAAAGGAAAGTCTTCTTAACATTAGGTTTGATAAATTCTCTGCTTTGGAAGCATTACAAAAACTTAATTTGGTCGTTTCTTAAAATACACTCAATCTTCTTTCCATTTCTGGCCCAGCTTTTCTAGATCACATTTTCCTTTAAGGGTCCATTTTCCTTAAGTCATAACAATCCAATTAAATCATATTTAAGAATTAGTTTCTTCTTAAAGGATTGTCCCATTTAATAACCTTTGCTTGCTTCTGTCCAGCTCTCTTCTCTCCTGAAACTTAGTAAGTCAGGGCGCTTTGCACAGACTCAGTACTCTGGCTTTTCCACCTTAAATCTCATACTAACCACCCCGTGTATGCCAGCCTGGATCTCATCGTTTTCCTTCACGGGTCCGACTCCCTTCGGCGTCCCGGTCAAGATAATATCTCCTTCTTCCAAGGTCATTATCTTAGAAACGTAGCTGATGATGTAGGGGATGGAAAAGATCATGGAGGCTGTCTCACCCTCCTGCCTGAGTTCGCCGTTGACCCTGAGCCAGAGCTTCAGGTTGTGAGGGTCCGGGATCCTCTCCTTGGGCACGAACGCGCTGACCGGGCAGGAGGCCGTGAAGCTCTTGGCCAGCGTCCAGGGCAAGCCCTTCTTCTTGCACTCGTCCTGCACGTCTCTGGCGGTCATGTCCAGACACAGGGCATAGCCGGCCACGTAGTCCATGGCCGCGGCCTCGGGGACGGCGCGGCTGCGCCTGCCCATCACGACGCCCAGCTCGAGCTCATGGTGCAGGTTGCGGCTGTAGGGCGGCATGAGGATGGCGGAGCCGTCGGGCACGTAGGCGGTGGACGGCTTGAGGAAGAGCAGCGGCTCGCTCGGCACGGCGCTCTGCATCTCCTTGGCGTGGTCCGCGTAGTTCCTGCCCACGCACACGATGTTCTTACCCCACTCCCAGAAGCGGGACAGCGGCCTGGGCGCCGCCATGGCTCGGCCGGGCGCCCCTGGAAGTCACGTGACCCGCCCGGCCCGGTCACCTGACGCCGACGGCGCCCCGGAGAGCACGAACTACCTCGCAGCGCTGTCCCGTCCGCGACGGCCCGTGCCGCTCTGAGCTCTACCGGGTGCTCGGCAGTCGCGGCGCCTCAACTCCTGGGAGCCGCTGTCCAGCAGCTGCCTCGGGGCACGGGCCTGGTGCCTGGAGAGCGGCGGAAGCACTGACGCTGCCCTCCGGCCGCGGCCGCCGCAGGTATCTCCCGGCTCCCCGGCAGCACTCGGGTCCGCGGAGGCCCGGCTGGCAGCCGGCACGGGTTTGGACGCGGGCGCTGATTGGCCGAGGTCTGGGGCGGGGGCGCTAGGCGTGCGCTGGTTGGCTGGAGGGCGGGGCGGCGGGTGCCGATTGGCCGCGGCGCGCCGCCGGCGTGTGCGGCCGGCCCGCCCCTCGCGCCGCCGCCGCCGCCGCCGCCCCGCCGTCCCGGGTCATGGTGCTGGGCCGCGGGCTGCTCGGCCGCCGGAGCCTCGCCGCGCTGGGAGCCGCCTGCGCCCGCCGCGGCCTGGGTAGGTGGGCCGGCGCCGGCCGCGGCGCGCAGGGGCGCGCCTGACAGGCGCCGGGGGCGCGGGCCCCGGCCTGCTGGGGGGGCCCGCCCGCGTCGTGACCCGGTGGCGGCGGTTGGACCGCGCCCCCGCGAAGGGTCTGGCGGTGCTGGGGGCGGTCGGGAGTCGCCGGGCCGCCGCGGGCTGATGCTGTTTTCTGTCGACACAGGCTTGTAACCCTCGCCGGCGTCCGGGCGCGCGGGTTGGGGTCGAGGAAAGGCCCCGCGGCACTTGAGTCAGACTTGGCGGGGCTGAAGACAGTGGGGTCACTGGTCGGCTGGGGGTTGCTGGCGGATTTGTGCCCGGTAAGGAGACGCGCGCCGCAGCAGCCCCGCGCCCTCGTCCGCCCGCGGCCCTCCCCGGGCGCCCTTCCCCGGCCGGGCGGACCCCGCGTGTGTGCGCCTCGGGGCCTACCTGCCCATCTCTTCCTGCGAGCTCCGGCTGACAAGTGCAAAGGGCAGGAGGCCCGGGCAGTACCGGGGTTGCAGCAGGACGGGGTCCTGGGGACTGTGGGGCCCTGGCCCTCCCTCTAGAAGGAGAGGCGTTGGGCTGGCGGGCTTCCAGGGCCTGTGCTTGCAGCTGCCAGATACCTGTCCCACTGCGGGTTACCTCCTGCTTTGTCGGAATATTTTGACCTTGATTTTGAAATCTCTTTTTCTTTATTTCCTGATATCTTATCTGGCTAATGTGGCAATAGGGGCAGTAGGGTGACCCGAGTCTTTGGGAGATGGTTAGCAGTTGGAGACATGACCACGTAGCAGTCGCGAGGGAGGCAAAGCTGTCCTTGGCCGTTTTAGATCTCACCGAGAGCGCTCGGTGTTCTGGAGTGGGTAGGTGTTGCCGTCACTAAGGAAAGAGCCTGTCGTTTTTTCCATTTGGGGACACTCCTCAGAGTGTCGGGGCTAAGCCTTTTTGCTTCCAGAGTCAGGCAGAGATCATGAGTAGGACTATAGGGAATTGGCAAGGTTGTGGCCACCTGGTTCAGATGGGAGCCCGGTCCCAGCCTCGGGATACCGTATAGAAGGACGGGCCCGGTTCAAGAGAAACCAAGCAAAACGGGTCTGAGGTCTCGGCTGGGACCATAGGCTGCTGTTCCGTGCCCTTTGCGCCTACGAAAGATCACAGAGCAAAGCAGTGCGTTGGAAGCATTTCTCAGGCATGTAATGTTTGGAAAAGGAAGCCGGCTTTCGGGGGTGCCTGCAGAAGTCTCTGATTCCCCGGGTTCTCTGGGAGAAGCTTCGGAGCACCTGGAGGAGCCCGAGCACACGCTGCGGTTACAGCCCCTCACCTGGGCGGTGTTCCTCTCCCAGACTCCAAGGAGAGTCCTGTTTCCGTCTCGCTTTCCTCCCTCCCCCAACCCCAGTAGGTGCGCTCCGCTCTGTAGTGCTTCCTGGGCTGGGGTAGTGCTGGGGCCTAGGGAGGGTGGGTAGTCACGGAAACCTGGCCATACAGAAATGTTTGTTTTGCCGTGTATGAGGGAGGAGAAGGGCCTGGAAAATGCCCAACTGGTTGTCCAGGGAAAGGGGAGTTGGATATCTTGGTGTATTCTTGACAGTTTCCCTGGCCGTGGCAAGATAAGGTCGAATTCAGCCCTCCGTGGCCCCTGGAGATGTGGTCTGTCAGTCAGTGGGTCCTGCCTGCTTTCTGGATGCCTTTTGGAAGAGGGCTTCATTCTGGCACCTCCCCCAGAATTTCATGGCTGTCTTCTGTCACCTTTCGTGGTGTTCATCTCTTTCACATCACGACAAATATTGTTGGGCCTCTGTGAATTTTTAGATCGAAGAGGAGTTTCGTTGTTGGAAGTGGCTTGGCCCCTGACTTCTCAGTCGGGGATGCCTTCGGCCCTTGCTCACTCTTGACACACCCTGCCGGGTCCTTTGGCTCAACTGTATGGCGATTCTGTGTCCTGTGCACTTGGATCTGGAGCAGGGGGCCACCTCTCCCATGTGTCAGGCCCTGGTCGTTTAGTGCGTGGTCCAAATTTCGAGTTCCTGCCTATGAAAGAGAATATTGTTTTCTTCTCTGGCTGGAGACTTAGGAAGGCTCAGAGGCGCTCGCCCTCCGGGTTCCTCTCTTCGTGGTCTTTCTGAGTCGGGTGTGAACACCCCAGGACTGGCACTGGTCACTTTTGACTGTGGTTTGAATCACAGGCACAAACTGGCACCCCGTCCCCTGAGAGCTTGCGAAAAAGAAAATCAGGATCATAGTGTGAGAGAAGGGATTTCCGTGAATATGCATGTGAAGAATTTTCTGTGTTTTTCTTATGGATGTGGTAAATTAGGATATTTTCTTCTTTCCCGAAGGAACTCAGAAAACCCGTTGTGGCCAGCCTCACACTTTGCCGCTGACGAGTCCCTTCCCCGGGATGTTGGGTCCCCAGCACGTGGGGTCTCCTGGGCCTCCCGGCCAAGGGCTTGTCTTTGAGCCTCAGCCTGGGGCGGCCTCCCATGGACACTGACCAAAGCTTTGTCTTCAGGCCCAGCCCTGCTGGGAGCCCTTCTCCATCACACGGACTTAAGGAAGAGCTTGACGGTGGAACAGGGCACCATGAAGGTTGAGTTACTGCCCGCGCTGACCGACAACTACATGTACCTGATCATCGATGACGAGACCAAGGAGGCCGCCGTTGTGGACCCGGTGCAGCCCCAGAAGGTGGGAGGCAGGGCCCCAGCACCACCCCACCCCCTGCCAGGGCTGGTAGCTGTAGTGTCCTTGTAGTTTGGTCGAAGCTAAACAGAAGTTCACCCGTTTGGTTTTTGAAAAACAACCAGTGTCCAGCCACTCTGCGAGGGCTGGAGGCCGCCAGCAGCTTGAGCGAGGAGAGCAATGGGCTTCTGTCTGGAAGGTCCCTGGGTGCCAGGAAGCCCCAGGGGCGATTACCTCGGGCAGAGGGACTTGGAGAGGTCATGGTTGGCCCTGAGCTGCCAGCTGGGTCAGGAGGGACCGGGACCGGGATGGGGGGCAAGTCAGCAGGGTCAGGGCAGGGCGTGGCCCCTCCCAGGCAGGCCTGGGTCCTGCTGGGCCCCCTACAGCTCGGCCACCCAGTGCGGGGAGTGTGACCGTGGTCCCCGTCGTGCCTTGTGTTTGGTTGCAGGTTGTAGAGACGGTGAAGAAGCACGGAGTGAAGCTGACCACGGTGCTCACCACGCACCACCACTGGTAAGTCCTCCCCGGCCGGCGCGGGCCTGTCTGCTCCGGGCTGTGCGCGCTCCGGGCGGGCGTCTGTGGGGGTCAGGCACTTGGGCTCTCTGGGCCCTCCTACGGGTGGAGACCTGCGGGACTGGGGTGCTGGAAGCCGTCGTCCCTGCCCAGCTGCGTTCTCTGTGCCACTGAGGGTCGGCCCCAGCGGGGTTCTGAGAAGACCGGCCGGCGGTGGCCCCTGTGCCGCTGTCCCGTGGCCTTGGCCCTGGGCACTGCTAACTCGGGGCTGCATGGGATGGACCCCCAGCAGCATATGTGAAGGCTCCGGGCTCGTGTGATGGGAGACAGGCTTTGATGTCAGGGAAGAAACTATTCTAGATGTTGGTGTTTTTAAAACTCAAGCCGCTCTATTTGGAGAGGTTGTGGTTTTGAAATTGAAGGTAGGGGGGTGAGGAAGCACCTGTGTTTGCATTTTAGGATCAGAGCTGAAACTCAGAGCTCTTTACAGTAGAAAAAAATATTGATTTGGCTCTAAATTGTCTTTTGCATGGGAGTGCCCGAGGGCAGCCCCGGTTCCCACGGCTTCAGCCTGCAAGGGCCTGGGCCGGTGGGTTTGTTCTGTGGTGGCCCAGCAGGCACCAGAGTCTTTGGGGTGTTCCTCCCAGGCCATCAGCTGTTAACTCCTGAATGCGGAGGGGCGGGGCCGCGGCCTTGCCCTTGGCCGTGCTGCTGTGCTGCTGGGCTTGCTTTCCGGTAAGAAGCCAGGTCTGCCAACCAACCGCCAGGTCACTTTTCTAAAGTTGTGACGCCCTGGGGTTTTCCCTCTGTTTATGTTAGAATACAAAACCCCAAATTCCGCCCCAGACCGAGCCTCCCTCCCTCCCTGCGCTCCCGGAGGGTGGGGCTGCGGTGTTGCTTGGCAGAGCCCGCCCCTCTTATCTGTGGGCCCCAGATCTGGGCTCCTCTCGAAGGGCTGCGTGGACGAGGCTGCGGTGAGGAACCGGCGCCTTCGCCTTGACCCGGGAAGGCTGGTCTGCGGCAGGGCCCTGGCTGGGCTTCGGCGGTGCAGGTCCGGCCCCACAAGCTGTGATACAGGCTGGCCTGGTCCCCAGTCCCCTTCGGGCACTGCCGAGCTGGGCCTGTGTGCGTGTGTTTACTTGTTTAAAGTTATAAGTGTTTTTATTTTTATGCTATTTTAATTCCAGTTACTATCTGGTGTTACATTGGCTGCGGGTGTGCGACACAGTGACCCAGCGGCTGTGTGTGCTCCGTGCCCCTCACACGCGCGCTCCTGGAGCCCTGTCACCCGCGTCACCTTCCCCCACCCGCCTCCCCGCTGGGAACCATCTGTTCCTCCTCAAGAGTCTGCT